ATATACCCCTTCACAATTGGCCCACCCTACATTTCTAGCCATTTCCTGCCTGCTCTCCATGGGTTTTATGCCCTACCCCTGTACTTCACAACCCTGGTTGTACATTAGAGTCACTTGGAGAGCTTTCAAAACTACTGAAACTCATTCCCCACCCCTGACCTGACTCTTAGAGGTGAAGCCTGGGATTCAGTATTTGTTAAAAGTTCCCTAGGTGATTCTTTTTTTTTTTTGCCTGAGGAAGATTCGCCCTGAGCTAACATCTGTGCCAATCTTCCTCTATTTTGTATGTGGGTCACGACCACAGCATGGCCATCAACAAGCGGTGTAGGTCCACGCCTAGGAACCAAACCTGGGCCACCGAAGCAGAGCACACCGAACTTAACCACTAGGCCGTGGGGCCAGCCCCCCCAAGTGATTCTAATGTTCAGGTACTGAGTACAGGGAACCACTAGGCTTTTGCCCTCTTGTGAACGTACCAAGCTCTTGTACCCACCAACCTTTTGCATACAGTTTCCTCCATCTCTAATTCCTTTCTCTCCCTTTTCTGTACAATAAAACTTTGCTCATTCTTCAGTACCTCAATACTACCTCTTCTCTGAAGGGTTGTCAGATCTCTGCCTTCTCCCACGAGTCCCACAAGCGAGTTACTCTCTACTACGTTCTTACAGCACCTTCTGCATTTTTCACATACCTGTCAATTGTGAGTTATTTAAAGGAAGGACCCTTACTTTATCCATAATGTGCCCCAAAAGCCTTGCATAATGCTTAGCATCTCAGTAGAGGTTGACTAAAATTATACACTGTCAAGCTGACATCAGTGCCTGAAGAGACACTAGTCCGGTCCATTGTACAATCATTATGTAATTACCTGAAATAACAAGATTGAAAAGTAACTACCATGCATGGTGAGAGTCACATCTTGCCAGAGTAATTGAATTTTGTTCTACGATAATATGGCAAACTATAACAAGGAGAAATTGTTAGGGTGACTCTATGTTGAATGAGTGAGCCACTCTATCTTGATTTCAATGAAGTTCTGAATACTTTCACAAATAGCTTTCTCAATGGTAATCTAGCAAAGCATTGTCCCAGTTATACAATTTAAGTAGATGAGGAAGTAGTAGGATATTATCAAAGAAAGGCTTCTGTGATTAATAATAAATAGATATGGATCAGTAGTATAATGCCATTGCAAAAAAAAAAGTGGGGGAGAGCCCCCATGCTACTGGAATGTAGATCGTTATTAAGTTTTGGCCTTCACAGTTCATCAAGGAGATGGAGAACTGTGTGAGGATTCGGAGATGAATGCCAAAGATAATGAAAGGAGTAGAAAACAGGTCCTATGAGGAAAGCTTCTGTAATTAAAGCAAGAGAAGGCTGAGAGACACACGTGTGACTACTAATTTCATGTGCATACGCATTTTTGTGAGTTAGTTTATATCCAAAAAAACTAAGCATGAAGAAATTAGCTTAAATTGGAACAGGTGAGTTTTGGTTGGACATTAAGAAAAATATTCTAACTCACTGGATTACAAAATGCAAATCTGATCATGTTATTCTCTAGTTTAAAACCTTAATTGACTTCCCATTGTCTCTAGGTCAAAGCTTTTTTTTTTTTTTTTTTAAATAAAGCATGTAATTTATTAGTTAGCTGATTTTGACAAATCAAAATCCAGTGATTTTTAGGAAGATGACATACAACAATGGTTTGGGAATTTTAATCTGCTGGAAAATATTATGAGTGATGTAGCAAACATATATGTCCTATCAAAAATAGGTGGAGATAAATATGAAAAAGAGAGGAAAACTAACGCAGAGTCAAAAATTGCTTATGTTGTGGTCCAAATGTTCTTTCTATGTTGAGGCACAGCTAGAGTCCAAAACAGTCAGGGTGTAGTAATCATAAAGTGGGGGAGCCATGATGTATGATAGTGTTCTGTCTTATGAACAAGTTATTATTAGGTTTTATTAATCACATCTACATTTGTATGTTTTAAGCTGAAATAAAATGTTTAAGATATGTATGTATCTTTTTAAAGATTGCCTTCCTTTACCATTTTCAGGAGAATTTTTAAAACTATTAATCTAAAATAATTTCAAACATACAGGAAAGTTGCAAGAATAATACAAAGAATACCCATATACCTTTTCCCAGATTTACCTGTTGTTAACATTTTACCCTATTTGTGTGCACGCTCTCTCTCTCTCAACACACACACACACACGTGCACATGCGCTTTTTGTTCTACCCACTTGAGAATAAATTGCACACGTCATGGCCCTTTACTTATAAATCCTTCAGAGTGTATTTTCTAAGTATAAGACTATGCTATGCTCTTACAGAACCACAGGACAGGCATCAACTTCAGCAAATTTAATACAGGTACAATACTTGAATCTCATCTACCGTCCATATTCCAATTGTTTCCATTGACCCATGATGTCGTTTATAGCGTTTTCTTCTTTAGTACAGGATCCAGTCAAAGCCTGTGTTTTTCAAAATGGCATCTGAGGCCCTTGGCAAACAAAACTCTCAGGTTATCTCTTTCTATTTCCAAGCTCCCCACTTTCCCCTTTACCCCGGGTTCAAGCCCCTGTGCCTCTTTTTCTGCTCCTTGGAGTGCGAGAACTCCTTACCTTGCAAAACACCTCCTTTTCTTTTTCGTTCAAGACTCAGTCTTTTCTGAAGACTTTTCTTACTGCCCTCCTAAGCCCAGATGGAATTGACCCAGCTGGAAACCAGGGGGCTTTCTCCTTAACCCCTCCCAACATCCTGTCTCTTAAGTGTACTTGAAATATCTTAGTGCACATTCATGAGTACATAGCTGGGTCCCCTTCCCACCCACCGTCCTCATCCGATGCCATGAGAAGCTAAGATCTTTGAAAAAAGGGGCCATATTTTATTGGTCTTTATATTGCCAGATGTTAACATAGGGTCTGTCACACAGGAGGTGCTTTATAAATATTTATTAATCAGCAATGAGAGACATCCCTGCAAAGAGCTGCTGAAGGAAGTTGTAGGGAGTCTGATCCTGTGGAGCCTCAAAAGGAAGGAAACTGCCCCGCTAACCAGGGGCCTTAAAATGGCTCTAGGGGGGAGGGGAATGAGTTTGTGTTTGTATGTCAGGGGTGAGGGGAGCTTGATCTCCAAAAGCTCTTCTAGTTACATGATAGAGTATGGTGAGATCAGCCGTAACCTTGCATTTAAGGTTTCTCAAGGTCACGCACAGCTTCACAAGAACATAGACTGGATTTAACTTTTAATTTTGAACTAACTTTAGACCTCCAGAAAAGTTGCAAAGATAGTACAGAAAGTTCCTAGAAATCTTTTACCCAGCTTCCCCTAATATTAACATCTTATAACCGTAGAACAATGATCAAAACCAGGAAGTTAGCGTTGGCACAGCGCTGTTAACTCAACCTCAGACCTTCCTCACATTTCACCAGCTCTTCCAGTAATGGCTGTTTTCTGTTCCAGGTTCCTGTTCAGGATCTCACATTGCACTGAGTTGTCATGTCTCCTTAATTGCCTCCAATCTGTGACCGTTTTCAGTCTGTCCTTGCCTTTTATGATCTTGACCCTTCTGAAGAATATTGGTCAGTTGTTTGTAGGATGTCCCCCATTTTGGGTTTGTCTGAAGTTTTCTCATGAATAGATTGAGGTTCTGCATTTTTGATAAGAACACCACGGAAGTGACGATGTGCCCTTCTCAGAGCATCACGTTCAGGTTCATGATGTCATATGTCTTATCAATGGTGATGTTGAACTCGATCATGGGTTAGGAGGCTTCTGCTGGATTTTTCCCTGTAGAGTTACCATCTTTCCCTTTGAAGTTAATAAATACCTTAGAGATACTTTGAAATTATGCAAATATCTGTTTCTCCTCAAACTTTCATCCACTAATTTTTGCATCCATCAGTGAATCTTGTCTGCAACAAATCTTACTGTGATGTTTGCTTAATAGTGGATTTCTTATTTCCCTCTTTCCTTCTGCATTTATTGATTGGAATTCTTCTGGAAGGAGAAGCTGCATAGACTGGATTTAGATGCAGAATGTCACATATTTTTAATCATCATTTTCTGATCTTTTGATTCTTCAGATAATTAGTTTGGCAGCTGTATTTTTAAAATATGCCTTTATTCTTACTTAAGCATTTACATTTTATTAATGTTTGCATAAAGGCATTGCAATCACTGAAGTTATTACTACATTTTCTTTATTATAGGCAGACTGAATGACTCCCTCAATTTCAAAAATGAGAAGTCAATGACTTTATTAAAAAAGAAACACAACCAAATGACTTTAAAATGGGCACACCCTATACGCAGGCCTTAAAAAATCACTAGTTCTTTGTTTAGCTTCTCTGTGCCTAGTAGTAGAAGTAATACTGTTGATGCCTAGCCACAGATAGTTCATGGAGCACATGTAAGTAAGTTCTCTATAAAGAGAACTTTAATTTTAGCATTTCTTGGCTTTTGTATGTTTGCATTGTTAATCGGAGCTGAATTACACAGAACACAGTATATTTAGCACAGATTTTTGCAGGTCGGCAATTTTCATCGACCAGGGTTATCATGCAGGGTTTGCCCATAATGGTTAGTCAGCAGAAAAACATTAAATTGCTTCTGATTCATTTCTGAATCAGTGAAAAATTCACTTTCCAAGAATATTATCTCTGGTTTTGTAAAATGTTGGAAAAGAGCATTATTTAGATGAGAGGTTGACAAACTTTTTCTGTAAAGGGCCAGATAATAAATACTCTAGCCTTTGTAGGCCACAGTCTTTGTCACAACTACCCAACTCTGCTGTTTTAGTGTGAAAGCAACCGTACACAATATGCAAGTGAGTGGGCGTGGCTGTGTTCCAATAAAACTTTATTTACAAGAACAAGTGGCAGGCTGGGGGTTATAGTTTGCTGATCCCTGATTTAGACTATAAAAATACACCAACTTAAAATGTACATTAGCATTTATCCTCATCTCTCATATTTCTTTACAGGAAGAAGACTGATCTTTGAAAATATGTATTTGGGAGATAGTCACGTTCTATTGAATACCTTGTGCTGGTGCTGCCATCGAAAAATCTGGTTACACTCCGGGGAGGCCTGCTGCCACTGCAGGACTGAACCGCCTCGGCCCTGAGATGAGTGTCCGGCCTGAGCGGGCACACCATGAATAGATACACAACAATCAAGCAACTCGGGGATGGAACCTACGGTTCCGTCCTGCTGGGAAGAAGCATTGAGTCTGGGGAACTGATTGCTATTAAAAAGTAAGTTTTATCCATCACTTTCATGAATTCATCCTCAACTACACGTCGTCAACATATTTTTAACTCTACCCTCTCCATTCCTCGTCTTTGGAAAAGTTCTGAAGGGGAGTGGGTGGGAGGCTTGGAGAAGAATCTTCGACGTTGATTTCTGTGAGTTAGGTGATCATTGACTCTGGAACGCTCATATTAGAGGTCTTAAACACATTCCCACTTAAGATTTACTATTTTGCATACATATTAGTGCTTTTTCAAAGTGTTTTCGTATATTGTGAGGCAGTAACAAGCAAGTTAAGAAACATTATTTTCTAGGAAAGGAAACTGAAACTCTGAGAAATTAAGTGACTTGATTTGGATCATTTACACGTGTGGTGGTCTGGTGACTACTGAGCTTGTTCCCCCGACACCACTTGCCCTTTGCCATCTGGGTCCAGACCCATTGTATTAGTTATCTTTTGCTGCATAACCTTTACCCCCAGAATTAGTGGTTTATAACAACAGACATTATCATCTCACAGTTTCTGTCGGTTAGGAGTCTGGGTGTGGATTAGCTGAGTTCTCCGCTATAAAGTCTGTCATAAGGCTGCAATCAAGGTGTTGGCCAGTGCTGGGGTCTCATCTGAAGACTGGACTCAGAAAGGATCCACTTCCAAGCTCACTCACATGATCATGGGCAGCATTCAGTACCTTGTGTTGGACTGAGGACCTCAGTTCCCTGCTGGCTGTTGGCTGGAGGCCGCCCTCAGTCCCTTGCTCTGTGGGCCTTTCCAAAGAGCAGCTCACAATATGGCAGCCTGCTTCCTCAAGACATGGGAGCCAAGAAGGCAATGAGATAATCTTCTACCAAGACAGAAGTCACATCTTTTTTGCTTTTGTAAACTAATCACAGAAGTGACATCCTCTCAAATTGCTGCATTCTATTGGTTAGAAGCAAGTCATTGAAAGAGGGGGATTATACCAGGTTGTGAATACCAGGAGATGGGGGGTGGTCTTTGGGGGCCATTTTAGAGTCTGCCTGCCACACTCATCTATATCCAGTTGCCTTCTCAGCATCTCCACTTGGATGCCGTGCAGACACTTCGAACTCATCATATCCAAAACTAAACTTATGTCCAACATATTCTCCCTCTCCTGTTTCTCCTTCAGTATTCCCTATCTTGATAAATGATGCTACTGTCCCTTTAAAACCTGGGAGTCCTCCTGACTTCCTTTCGTATGCCCCAGCATTGGTCATCTACCTGTAGATTCCAATGACTAAATAGTTATCTGATCCACCTACTTCTCTATGTTCCCACCGCTAACCTCTCGTGCAACCCTTCCTCATTTACTACCTCTACCACTGGAATAATTTCTTCTGTAGGGTTCCTGGCTTCCATTCTAACGCCTATCCAGTCCAGTCTGAAGGGATTATTATAAACACACAAATCTGATTGTCTAAAACGATTTTTGCTAAACACTGTGTCCCTGCTGCCCCATCTCATCCCACTGTCTCACCTGACTTCAGTGTGCTGTGGTGTATAGTTCTGGCCCACCGCCAGCATCCCACGTCAAGTATACTCAGGAGACTCCCAACCAACACGCCTTCTACACGATCCTTAGAAGGCCCAGCAGGATGGAGTCACAGTTGCCCACCTTGGTATCAGCTAAGTAATGTGCTCTTTACTGGGTTCCCTACCTCCTTTCCCATTTTCCCTGTTCTTGCCCTGGCTTCCTGGAATCACCTGCCAAATAAACTACTGCACCCAAGTCCTTGCCTCAGGCTCTGCTTTCAGGGGAACCCAAACCCAGACAGCTTTCAGTGTCTTCCTTTCAGTTGTAGGATCAAGCTGCCAATTTTTAATGTGACCCACCAATTGCTGCGTCATCTGGCCCTTGCCTGTTTTCTTCAGCCGGATCTCCTATCCTTCTTTGTTCTGCTTTTTGAACTCAGCAAATACCTTCCTGCCCTGAGCCTTCACATGATATTCCCTACCGGATGCCTCCCACGGGCTAAATTCTACTCGTCCTTCAGGTCTTGTTTGAAATATCACTTCACTAGAGGAGTGTTCCCTGATCACCCCAGACTAGATTAGGTCACTTTGAGGTCCACTCGCATAATGCCCTGTACTTTCCTTCATAGCACTTAGTGCTGAAAAGGATTAACTGCCTGCCTTCCTGCTAGGATGTCAGTTTCATGAGGGATGTCTCTCATCATTGTATCTCCTGTGTCTACCAGAGCCTCTGCCACATGGGAGGGACTAAATAATATTTGGGGCATAAATAAAGGAATTGGTTACTGAAGCAGGAGACGGTGCGACATCGAAGAGTGAGGTGGAGAGATGGAAGTTGATCTGTTATTAGCCAGCAGCGAGACCTGGGGGAAATCATGTAACTTCTCTGTTTCTTGGTTTCCTCACCTGTCCCATCTATTTCACCGGGGCTGCTGCACTGTGGTTGAAGTGCGATGAAAGATATAACCTTGAAACTTGGGTTTCTGGCTGGCTAACAGGGTTCTCTTTCTCGCCCCTTAGGTGCTAGACCAGAGGTTGGCAAACTTTTTCCGTAAAGGGCAGATGGTAAAGATTTTAGGCTTTGCAGACCGTATAGTCTCTCTCACAACTCAGTCCTGCTGTCATAGCGTGAAAGCAGCCGTAGACCATCTATAAATGAATGAGTGTGGTTAGATTCCAATAAAAATTTATTTATAGAAACTGAAATTTGAATTTCTTATAATTTTCACATATCACAAAATATTATTTTTCCTTTTATTTTTCCCAATGATTTAAAAATATGAAAGCCATTCTTAGCTTATGATCTGTACAGAAACAGATGGTAGGGTGGAGTTGGCCCATGAGCCATAGTCTGCCAACTCGCATACCAGACATTCTAGAACTGTGCTGTCCAAGATGGTAGTGAGTAACCATATGTGGCATTTAAATTTAAATTTAATTAAAAATTCAGTTTCCATGTTGCACCAGCCACATTTCAAGTGCTCAGTAGCCACACATGTCTCATGGCTACGATAATGGACAGCACAGAACATTTCCACCGATACAGAAAGTTTTATGGGCAACTCTAGTCTAGATAAAATAAGCCCAAGGGATTTCCCTCGAGGGCAGGTTAGTGACAGAGCAAGACAGCAGTCCAGGCCTTCTGCACTGCACTGCACTGCACCACCTATGCTGGGAAATTTTATGATGTAGGATTGATGGCACTGCCCAGTTTTAAAATGTCGTTTTGGATAGTCTGATATTTGGTAGAAATCAAAACCAACTTTAAATACTGTTCATTAGGTTCAGAATGAAAACATTTTTTTAAAAATAAAGTTTAGCCTCTTACTGGGAATAACCATACTATTTGTTTCTTTCTTCTCTTTTAGAATGAAAAGAAAGTTTTATTCCTGGGAGGAATGCATGAACCTTCGGGAGGTTAAGGTATTTATAAATACACTAGGGAACAGTTTGTGTATGGTTGATAAAATAGCTTTATACCTGTGGTATAGTCACTCTGTTTGAATGGTTTCACTGATGCTGACAAAGGGGGCAGATGATAACATTACGCAGCTAATAGCTGAAAGAAGATTCCTGTGCCATTATATTAGTGAATATACTTTATTTTTAACCTTCGTATAGTGCTATTCACTAAACCACTGATTTATTCAGATTTCACTGGTTTCAAACTAATGTCCTTTTTCTTTCAAATTGTGATGAAATAAACATAAGAAAATTTACTGTTTTTAAGTGTACGGTTCAGTGGTATTAAGTACTTTCATAATGTTGTACAACCATCCCCACCATCCATCTCCAGAACTCTTTTCATCTTACAAAACTGAAACTCTGTACCCATCAAATAATAACTCTCCATTACCCCTCCCCCCAGCCCCTGGCCTCCCCCATTCTGTTTTCTGTCCCTGTGAATTTGGCTACTCTAGGTACCTCATGTAAGTGGACTCATCCTTTAGTCCACCTCATAAAGTGGACTTTATCCTTCTGTGACTGGCTTATTTCGCTTAGCTTAATGTCCTTAAGGTTCATCCATGTTGTAGCAGGTGTCAGAGTTTCCTTCCTTTTTAAGGCTGAATAGTATTCCGTTGTATGTATAGACCACATTTTGTTTATCCATTCATCCATCAGTGGACACATGGGTTGCTCCCACCTTTTGGCTATTGTGAACCTTCCCATTTCTTTAAACTCTCCCTTTCCGTGGCTTCTTCTCTGTGGTCTATAAATGTGCTCGCCGTTCCTTCTAGTCTAGGAAAGCCTCAGCCCTCTCTTCCCTTGAGCGTCCACCCCTTTCCTTTCTTTCCCTTCCCTTCCAAATGTCTCCCTTTGCCATCACTTCCCCACCTACTGTTGACTTTGCACTTGATTGAATCAGGCATTGGCCTCTGCAGCTGTACTGAAGCTGCTCTCCTAAAAGTCTCCAGTTGAGAGTCCAGCATCATTGTCTCTGGCACTTTCTTGCCTGCATTGTTGGGTGCTGTTGATCACTTCTTCCTGTCTTCTCCCAGGGCTGTGTGACTCTGCTTTTTCCCAGCTGTCCTACCTTTTTCTTCTCTTTCATCAATTGTTCTATGGTTCACCCCTTACATATTGATGATTTCTCATATTCTGTCCTTAGCAACTTTTCTCTTTGCTCTGACTTCTTCTCCTGAGTGATCTCATTCATCCCCCTTGCATCCAGCAGTCTCATCAAATCTTTTATCTTTCTTATGCATTAGACCAGGGGTCAACAAACAGCTCGTTGCCTGTTTTTGTTAAAAAAAAATGTTGTAACAGCCACATCCATGTGTTTGCATGTTGTCTATGGCTCATTTCATGCTACGAAGCACAGTTGAGTGGTTGCAGCAGGGACCGTGTGACCTAGAAACCCTAAAATATTTACTCTCTGTCCCTTTACAAAAAGTTTGCTGCCCCCTGTTTCAGGCCCATATATCCAACTGCTCAGTGGACATCAGTGTCTGAATTTTCTGGAATGTCTGCCTCCCCCACTGCTCATATTTTCTCCCCTTTCTGTTAATTATCATTTACCCATTCACCCAGAAACCACAGCTTGTTGCAGGTGGCCTATGTGACCCCACTTCCTACACATCTCACCCATCCTGTGTGCTGCTGCCAGATGGTAGAACGACCTCTGTACACTCAGCTGTTCACACACTGGCCACCATTTATTGAGAAGACTATGGGCCAGGCAGCACCTAAGATGCCTTACATGCATATCTTGTTTCATCCCCACAACTGCCTGATGAGGAAAGTGTTAGTATCTTGAGTTTGCTGGTGTGAACAGCTGAGGCCCAGAGACTCAGTAATTTGCTTGAGGTAAACACAACTCTAAGCCACAAAGCTTGGTTTGAAACCCATGTTTGTCAGAAGCTTCAGTGGGTATACACCTGGTGTCTAAACAGTGTCCTCCCTGCCCATTTCTCCAGTTAAAGTCTTCCAGATGAGCTTCCTTCAGCTTCCTGAGGGTGATTCTCCTCCCTCAGACAGGGTGCTACTCCCATGCTCACGCCTCCGGAGGGCTTCCCTCCTGACACACTCTCTCCCTCCCTTGAGTTGGTGTAGATGTTACTCTTCCTTCAAGTCACATTCCAGATGATACTCTCACTGACCACTCAGGGTTTGCCTCTTACTCCTTCTTGAAACATCCCTGATGTTCCTTGTCTCTATCGTTCCTTTAACACTTAATACGATCTTCCTTATTCTGTTACACGTGTTATGTATTCAGGACCTCTTTTCCCGACTGGGTTGTTTGCCTCTTAAGAGCAGGCACTGTGTCTCGTGCCCCAGGGTATCGGACATTGAGTTTTGTTTATAGTTAGGAACCTTCCTCCGTGGGGGTAGACAGTCCCCGTTTGGACTGCTGACCCGGGTTTGATTTGCTGCTTTTTCTTCACTGCTCTGATGCAACTGCCCTGCCTCTACCTCTCCGTGGAGACCTTTCCTGAGCAAAATAAGATGGCTTCTTTCTAGAAATGTGTCTCTGTAAAATGAGTCACGTGCAGTCCCTCACACAAAATTAATTCCTTTTCTATTAAACTAATATAGACTTTAACTTGCCCGTGAGCCTCACTTTGAAACAAGAGCTGTGAGCCGCCCTTAGACTTGGGCCAACAAGTCATGCTCAAAACACACTTCTGGCTCAGAGCGATGGTACCTTACTCCTTGCCTAGAATTCTCTTCTTAACAAGCTTTGAGACCTACTTCATTTTCCTCTCAATGAATTTGCCTGATTCATTCTGCTGCTCGTCCACTGGATGTCTCAGCCGTTGCTTATGATGCATTTTAAGTAAACATGCAGAAAAGATGGCTGCCGTCCGTGAGAGTCCGGTGAATACTTACAAGTTAGGCAATGTTTGTTTGTTACTCATGGAGAACCAAGAATCCAACCCAACTAAAAGAAGTTATTAGCCCAGTTGGTTCATTCTAGAAGGATCTGGCCAGTTGGCCAAAACAGCTGTGGATTTCCTGCCAGAGAAGCTTCTTAGCAGGAGCTTGTCTTTCAGGAAAGAGGCTCCAGAAGGGTCTTATTTTGTTCTCATTCACAGACCATATTTCTTCTTTCTTCCCAGCTGCCTGAAGTAACTCGATCGTATTACACAATCCCAAGCTCTGATCCCTTGGGTACCTTATTACTGAGTGTCCTTCCAGATTGGGGTATTCTTGTTAACATTTTCATCTTCAGACATTGTGTTTGTTGGTTTTATAAAAGGGATGTTCTTTTTAAGGAAATTCAAAGATAAAGAGGGCTTTACAACTTATTATTATTGGACTCACTTCTTTGTGAGGAAAAGGCTCTTTGAATTAAAGGACTCGTCCCACTGGCCAAAGTGACCCTTTGAGGCACCTTTGAAGGAGACAGTCTATCAAATTCTGATCATCTGGTGAGCAGACGAGCAGTTGAGTGTCTCTGGCTGTCGTACGTGAACAAGATTGCTGCTCACTAACACAAAAGTGTTTGTTCACCATCGACAGAACTAAGGATGCAAACAGAAAATAGTTTACAGGTGACTGTACTCAAATGTATGTTCTGGGAAGAGGGAAACTGCATTTGCACAAGGATGAGTAATCAGACGGTCATCCACCGTGTTCTGAGCTACCCTCTTGCTCCTCATCCCCTGCCTGACTTTTTTGCTTTTGCTGTTCGTGGAAGCAGAGGTATTTCTCCTATCTCCCTTCAGGGTCCTTCCAATCAGATTTCTCCTCCTTCTCTCCTTCTTCTCCTTCTTTAAAACTTACATTGTAAGCAGTGCTATACATCTCGTGAACACACCTGAGTCAGCCGAAAGTTGAGAGTATCAGGCTATCAGCCTCAGTCTATTTGAACAATTTCTTGTTCAATGTGTCTGCACACTGTTGGCTGGGGATCTCAGCCTAAAGCAGCTGCCTTCTCCAATGCTAGAACATTCCCAGCCTCAACTTCCAATTCATTCCCCTCTGGCCCCTTTCATGGTGTGAATTCCATCATCTGGAGGTAGGGCACCTAAAACAGCTCTGGCCCACTGCCTGGTGCGGGGGGCAGCCAGAAGTACCAGTTAACGGTCCGGTACTTACCTTCTAGTCTGTTTGTTGAAATGGTTTTTCTGTGTGTAGTTACTATTGACTTTGGAAGAATACTGTTTGTTAAATTGTCAATGAAATAGGAATGGTGGCTTTTCTGTGGTTCTAAAATTAGATGTCCTAAGTATATGTGGGATTACTTTTCTTTTTTAACAATAGATTTTCTCTAATTTTTTGTGTTTTTCTTCCTTGCCTTTCAGTCCTTAAAGAAGCTCAACCATGCCAATGTAGTAAAATTAAAAGAAGTTATCAGGGAAAATGATCATCTTTATTTTATCTTTGAGTACATGAAGGAGAACCTTTACCAGCTCATTAAAGAAAGGTACGGTTTGGTCATCATGATCTGAGAAATAAATGTTGCCATGTGGATGTGTTTTCTCTCTGCTTTTGTTTATGGCAGTCATGCTACTTAGGCTTCGCTGTGTAAAGCTGCCCATTCGATGAGGGGCCAATCCACATGCCTACTTGGAACCTTGTGGTAGCTTCATAGAAGCTACTTTCAATGCAGCCGTTTTCATGTTTTAGTGTGTTATTCACCCAAACGAACTCACAGATTTAACAGAGACTCTCAGCTCTCCATTCCCATAAGGAGGTAGGGGCAGAGCAGCTACAAGTCAAGGGTGTAACAGCTTCATCCGTTTTGAGCCCTCCACTGAAAACTTCTAGGTTTATTTCAGTGCCTTTCTTGCTACAGTGCTCAGGGGTTTGCACGCTGGGAAGAGGAGACTAATAAAAAACTTACCCGCCATGGCCACTTTGTTTATTTATTTTTATTTATTTTATTTTTTTCCCCCAAAGCCCCAGTAGATAGTTGTATGTCATAGCTGCACATCCTTCTAGTTGCTGTATGTGGGATGCGGCCTCAGCATGGCTGGACAATTGGTGTGTCGGTGCGCGGCCGGTATCCGAACCCGGGCCGCCAGCAGCGGAACGCGCGCACTTAACCGCTAAGCCACGGGGCCAGCCCGCCATGGCCACTTTGAACTTTAAAAGTGAACCATGTAGAACCTCTTGGGCACTTTTTCTTGGTGGCAAATGAATGCCATTCACAGCATCCCTTTGAGTGATTTCAGTGAAGAAATATCGTCTCCATTGTCAGTAACAGCTGTGAAGCCATGTGGTTTGCCCAACCAGGGAGAAATGTCACTGTCTACTGCATCTCACAGGGCCTTCATCTGGAAGACCTCAAATTTTTCCCATTAATTTTTTTTTTTTTTGCTGAGGAAGATTCGCCCTGAGCTAACATCTGTTGCAAATCTTCCTCTTTTTGTATGTGAGCTGCTGCCACAGCATGGCCATTGACAGACAAGTGGTGTAGGTCTGCACCCGGGAACTGAACCCAGTCCGCTGAAGTGGAGCCTGCCAAACTTAACCACTAGGCCACCGGGGCTGGCCCTCTAATTAAAATTTTTTAAAGTTTTAGTTTATTTTATGGAGAGAGGAGATTTTTATATGATATATTGGAGGGAATTTTTTCTTTTTTGGTTTGTTATAAAATGTTTAATCTTTTCTTCTTTGCAACATAACTGAATATATTTGGTGTTTATAAGGTAAGCTCTCATGTATGGATAAGTGGTTGTTTTCCTTTTGTCTTTATTATCAAAGAATCTAGTCAAATTAGCATGAAAGCAAATGTTTTCTTAAATTCTTACTATATAATCAAAAGAACGTGAAAACGGCATCTGTTTTCATATGTAAATCTGGATTTATAACTTTTTTTTCCTCTGCCCCATACAGAAATAAGTTGTTTCCTGAGTCTGCTATAAGGAATATCATGTATCAGATATTGCAAGGACTCGCATTTATTCACAAACACGGTAGGTGATGTGGAGTATTGTGCTTTTGAAGAGCAGTGACATGTTGTCATCAGGTAGAAGATGTAGGAAGCATCAGTGTCCTTTCTAATTGACTCCTAGAAAGGGTTGAAGAGAGGCTGACAGTGGATTTTGGAATATATTATCTTCCATAACTGGATTTCTGAATTTCCCTCATTTATCCTGTCTGCATGCTCCCATTCTTTAGGCTTTAACATTAAGCTTGTTAGTTATTGATCTAAGAATAATTCCTGACCCTTAACTGGTGTATTAATGAGACACCTAAGATAGAATTCAGAGGAATTTCATGTATTATATTTAACCCACTAACACTGCTTTGCCCTGTCTTCTCATTTTCTTAATGTGTTTTTATTTCACTCTGTTCAAAAGGGTTCAAAAATGGTCTAAAATATTTATGCAACACAGGAAAATAAAATAAATTGAAAATAAGCAAAGAAAAAGACAAAGCCAAGCAAGGCCTGGATAGAGCCAGGGGTGAGGTCCATCCGTGAAATGCCTATCAGCAAATTTCATCGCAGTGGAAGAAGCAGACACGGATGTGATTCTGAGCTCACTGTCAGACCGTGCAAAATGTAAAACGTGAGCAGTTACAAGCTACGTAGTTGCCCCGACCTAAAAACAGACCAGCTGCCCAAGAGAAGCACAACTATTCATGGTACTGAGACCAGAGGGGTTTCTCTCATGCATCCTTGTAGAGGGGATAGTATGTAACATGACTTCACGGTGAACACAGTAACTGGTTACGTAGGGCAGTTTCATGTCATATCTCTCAATATAGGCCAATTACATCACCTGATCAGAGAAAACAGTTCTACTGGGGCCCAGTGTGATTTGCTCCAGGGAGGGTCTGGTGAGTCCAAGGAGAGATTTAGAATATCCAGAAAAATGACCACATACCCCTCAGGAAATCCTCCATCTCTATCGTTCTCCTTAGCTGAGCTTCCGAAAGGTATTGAGTAGCAAGGAATTTGAGGTTATATTTTCTAGTAATTACCTTGGGCATTACTAGTCTTTGTTACTAACTGGATGCAGACCCAGCTAGGGTTGGAAACTGCCTTGTGAACACAGAGCCACAGGATGGATGTGTCCACCAGCAGAGCCAGGAGTACCCTCAGGAGGTCATTTGAGGTCGCTTTAACACACAGACGGATGGGGAAAGTGCTGATCTTGCACAGGCAAAAATCCTTTCACCTCCCACTCGAAGGATATCATTGCCATTGCAAACATTGCACCAGCAAAGGAATTCATTACCCAGTAAGGAAATGGAGTGGAAGCCCTGTCATAATACAGTCAATTCAGATTGGACTCACATTGGCAGTGAGTAGAGAAAACATTGTGACACAGTTGGTGACACAGTACACCTGGGGCCGTTCCCAGTCTGCTCTTTAACCCGTAAGTGGCCCCTCACAAGTAGAGACTAAATGAAATGCAAACAAACAGACTGACAGGGGCTCTCTGTGCAGGTCCTTGGCAGCCTCAGGCACATGCTGCATAAGCAGCAAGTAATATGCAAGACTGAGTCATTTGTGAACCAGTCCAGTAGAAAGTTTTTAGTCAAAAGTATCTCTGATCCCACTGACAGTGAGAGAACTAGCACTGTAGTCTTTATTCACAAGAATTCACGAGGGATGATATGAGTTTGCAAAACACTGAAGACTTCTGTTATGATGTCTTAGGGACAAATAGGAGGAGAAGGTTCACTTACTAAATTTAAGAGCCCAGAAAAAAGAAATGATGGGGCCAGCCCAGCGGCTTAGCGGTTAAGTGTGCGCGCTCCGCTGCTGGCGGCCTGGGTTTGGATACCGGGCTTGCACCGACACACTGCTTCTCCGGCCATGCTGAGGCTATATCCCACATACAGCAACTAGAAGGATGTGCAGCTATGACATACAACTATCTACTGGGGCTTTGGGGGGGAAATAAATAAATAAATAAAATCTTTAAAAAAAAAAAAAAGAAATGATGGGAAATCAAAGGGATTCTCAACAGAGAAAGGTCAGCCAGAACATTTTCAAATAGGGATCGGTCCTAGTGTCTCTGTTACCTGGGCTATTTGCTCAGTACTGGAAACTGAGCGGTTGACCTATGAGAAAGTTGATATTCTTTGGCTTTCTCTTCTTTTGCTTTTTGTTGCTTTTCATGAGACTCAGATATTTGTTGCCGGAAAGAACTTGTAGTCTTCTATCCAGGTCTCTCCCTAATCCTATTATATGAGTACACACACACACACACACACACACACACACACACAATACATGTGCATACACATGCACACATCTGCATGTACACATACCCACATGCACATGTACCTACACATACACTCTTCACATGCACACACCCACACCCACAAATGGACAAGTATGTGCACACACACACAATACATATTTGTATCCAATAATTTAGCATCCATATACTGTTGTGTCAAAACAGCTCTTTGGAACTCTGCACTGTCTGTTTCCCTCGCACGCCTTAGACACCGGATTGTGTATGGGAGCAGGGCAAGGGAAGGCTCAGTTTATGGAGAAGGTCAGACCGCCTTTGCTTTTATAACCCCAGCGCCATTGCTATTGCCAGAGATTCTTGTTGACACTTTTCCCAGCTGTTAAGTGCTCAGTTCTAGTTTGAGCTTCATAACATTTCATCTGTCACCTTATTTATTTCCTTGCCAAATTCTCAGGTAGAAAGGACAGATGGTATCTATTCCTTTCAAAGAAGAGGAAACTGGGATTCAGACCTGCCCACGGCCCCACTGCAATAAAGTGGTAAAGCGGAGATTAGCTCCAATTATCTGTGCCCATTTGTCACGCTTCACTAGAAAAACCTGTCTGTTCTCAAAAAGAACAGAGAATAAGAGGTGAAGAAAATACTGATAATAATTGCAGGTGGGATGGATATTAATTTTGCAGGTCCTTTCTTACTTTCATTGATAAATGATTTTTGGAATCTTTTTAATGGTTTTCATAGGATATTGACTTGACCTTGGTTAAGTGCACATGTAGCTCCATATTGTTCTTTTCCTCCAGTAATGGAAAAAATCTAAAGCACTTCACAGATTTGTCTTGTGCGTTTCAGGCCCTTCCCTGTTAGCTGGTTCTCACCGTGAGAAGGTACGTTCTGTCCCCAGGGAGCAGGCTCCTCTGAGAGGGGAGAAGAGTGCTGGAGGTAGTTGCCATGGCCGTAGTTCATGTCACTGAGTACTTTCCCCCCACGGGGAATGAAAACACCACTCCACTTGGTGCTGATTGAGCAACGCCAAAGCATATGTACTTTGCAGGAATTAAATAATTAATACAGATCATGTTTTATCCTTGACCTGCCCTTACTGATACCCAGCTCACGCTTATCCATGCAGGTAATCAGAAATGCCTTCAGTGGCTTGGAGGACAATGTTCTGCCCCCAGAGGTGGCTGTCTGCTTCTCTTTCCCCACTGTCTTGCTGTGCATGACCTTGAGTCAGCGCTTGGCCTTTCTGTGTGTTGTGTCCTCTTGGCCTTCGGGATAAAAACACTGCGGGTTTAAATGCAGTAATATCTGTGAAATTACAGCTTGCATAGCAGGAAGGTGTGCTGCATAAATTCACAGTGTTTAAGTATTCTCTGGTTATTTCCATGTATTCATATCAGGTTCATCATTAACAGAATGTGGTGGAGAGGAGAAAGCCTTCTTTGTAACCCGATGTTTTCCTTGCCCGGGTTGTTAATGAAAAGTAAGCACAACACATTTTCTGCCAGGATGAAAGAGAAAAATCCCTGTGTTGTTCGACTGGCCTGGGTACCTTGAAATGAAATTAAAAGTCTGTTCCTGTATTCTGAAAGCCAGACAGTTTTGAACAGGAAGATTCTTATCAACAGCACTTTGCTGTTGCATGATCCCTGAATGACCCAGGTATGAGGGTTTCCATTGTGAATCAGAAGCCCCGAGGAAGAAGCGGGCTCACTGTTACAAGTCCCAGTGCACAGAGCAGAGCGTGTACCCAGCCAGGGATCGGATCAGAGCTTAGCGCCACCTCCCCACGGGAGGTGGAGCACATCACTAGCCTCACGAGTCTTAATTCCTATCTGCAAAAAATGGAGCTGTCTGCCTGCCTCCTTTACCAGGTTGTTGGGAAGATGAAATGAGAGGATTCATACCGTGGTAATGACAAGCTCTTGCAAGGTGCCGATGTGCCAAGCACTGTTCTGAAAGCTTTACCAATATTATCGCATTGAATCCTGCAAAACAACCCCGCGAGGTAGATGCTGTTATTTCTCCATTTTACAGATGAGGAAAGTGAGGCACAGAGAGGTTAAGTAATTTGCCAGTCAGTGAACAGAACTGGGATTTGAAATTGGGCGACTTGATTGGTCTGCACACTTAACCACTGTGCAGTATTGCCTCTCATATGGAAACAGTAATGTGTTGTTAAAATTGAGATGAAAGGTCAATGTACATGACATGAGGGTCTTATACTTTTAATGCCAAGGACTAGAACTCATGGGTGTAAGGCTAATAATAGCTATTGCTATTATTCAGTAATGAAGAGAACAGAGGGCTGGATATCCTCCGGACATATTCACGCAAGCTTCCTAGTTATAAAGGCTTATACTTGAATACAGTATAACAGACAACATATGTCAACTGACAAATACACTTTTCATTACTCATTTTTAAGAGTCTGTTTGTAATTAATTTTTTTCCCTAGGTGTTTTCCCTCTGGTAGTTTATTTTGGGCCTGAAATATGATCCATAGAAAGGAAAGCCGCTTAGAGGGATACATGGGGAACCAGAATCTTCATTCTCCTCATTTCATTAGTATACATGTTCTCTGTGGAAGTAGTATTACAGACGAGTTAGCAGTGAGGGCAAGGATAAAACTTGATTGATGAGAGGAACTGGTTGGTGTTTACGGGACCATGACCCAGTGGAAGCGGGGTACAAGGTCTGGAGTTCAAGTATGCTTGTATCTGATGTAACAGGATGAACTGAACAGGGAGAAGATGTGAGTTTGTTGAGGTGGGTATTATAGGTGATGGTAGAGGAGGTTGCAGTGGGGTTTGGGGGCTGGAGGACAAATGATTCCTTATAAGAGAAATGCCTCATACATTTAGAAATAATAATTTAGCCCAACTAGAGGAGAAAAAGGGAGTCTAAGAGGAGAAACAGCATTAGTCTGGACTGAGAGGACCAGAACCACAAATCGAGATTTAGCCATATGGATTGAGAGGGACAGAGGAGAGCTTAATAGTACAACAGCTCGGACACATTTCTTAGTAGGATTGTGAATAATTCATCTCTCCCCCCTCACTTTTCCCATCTGTTCAGTAAGAAAACCATGTCTGCCATTTCTTTTTTCACTGGGATGTTTTTTTTATTTTTTATTTTTTTCCCCCCAAAGCCCCAGTAGATAGTTGTGTGTCATAGCTGCACATCCTTCTAGTTGCTGTGTGTGGGACGTGGCCTCAGCATGGCCGGAGAAGCGGTGCGTAGGTGCGCGCCCGAGATCTGAACCCGGGCCGCCAGCAGCGGAGCTCACGCGCTTAACCACTAAGCCACGGGGCCGGCCCTTGTTAAATAATTTAAAAAGGAGCCACAGAAGTTTTGTGTATGTGTGTGGATGGGACAGTGACAAGGGAAAGATAGTGTTTAAATTATCAGGATGTGTGGGGATCCAGAGAAGCTGGAGCGAGGAAGTCCTGCTGGAAAGTGGCAGTGCAGGGATAGCTGATGTGAGCAAGAGTTTGGGAGGGGGCAGTGGGAAAGGGCAGAGGGATAGATATGAGATATTTTGATAAAAATGTGACACAATTCCGTGACTGTCTGGGGAAAAGTGGATCCAGAATAACTGCAAGGTACCTAGATATCTTATCGAAGAGTCGAGAAGGAGAGATGATTTGGGAGGGGAGAAAAGTGGCTTGGGACAGGTTGATGTGGGGATGACAGTCACATTCAGCTGCTATCCTATTAGAGACATAGGTCTAGAGAAGAGCGGAGAAGGCACGTTAGAGATACAGATTTGAGGGCCGGCCCCGTGGCTTAGTGGTTAAGTGCTCGCGCTCCGCTGCTGGCGGCCCGGGTTCGGATCCCGGGCGCGCACCGACGCACTGCTTCTCCGGCCATGCTGAGGCCACGTCCCACATACAGCAACTGGAAGGATGTGCAGCTGTGACATACAACTATCTACTGGGGCTTTGGGGGGAAAATAAATAAATAAATAAAATCTTTAAAAAAAAAAGAGAGATGTAGATTTGAGCATTATCAGCATAGAGGTTGTCAAGGAATAGGGTAGATCTTCAGTGATGGCTATTAATTTCTCCCATAATGTGCTGGTTAGAATCCAACTTGCACAACATGGATAATGATAGCAGATAACAAGTATCACCATCAGCAGCATTAATGGAGTTGATTTCCAGTTTTGGTGTCCCATTGAGATTTAGAGTCACGTAGAATGATGTCTGTGTCGGTGACACCCTCCACAAGTGAGAGGTTTTGGGTTTTCAGAGGCATATATTGCTGAGAAGCGGGCGTTTGGGTGCATCTGGAAGGTTGGCGTGTTGACTGTTTCCTGCCTGCACACCCACAGCTCCGCTGTAGCTGAAACAGGCCTCCCATTGGATGAGTTATCTGTGCCCTTCACAATGTGAGCAGCAGATGTTTCTCTGTGCTTCATTAGGCACAGTAATAAGTATTTAACATTTAAACATTTGTTGCAACACACACCGGAATCTCAGATATGAGTTGGTCATGTTCATAAATCCCTTGTTTCTTAAACAAAAGTTGTAATTGTGTTTCTGCTGTGGTATAAACTCTCAGTACTCATAAGACTTGTCTTTTGAAATGGTTTTAATCTTACATTCTTTCTAGCTGACTGGGGCAGGGTAGGCATGATTTTTTTTTCCTTGAGTGACAATTTCTTTTTGCAAAGTCATCTTGGCCCATGACTGAGTTTTGTTATTTTAACAGAAAACTTCTCTTGGGGAAAAAATACGAAGATCAACTTTTGAATGATTTTACATTTTGAATTCATCAAAGGGAAATGAATGAAGTCTTTTGAGTGGTCCAAAGGACTCTCCTTTATCAGTGGGATGAATGTATAGAGGCTTCAGTGTCATACCAGACTACTTTTCAAATTATAGCTGTTATGAAAAGAGCAATACAGCCGCAAAGAGGAATGCAGAAGCAAGCTTGCATTTGGATTCCTTCTCCACTGTCTCCACAGGCTTCTTCCATCGGGACTTAAAGCCTGAGAACCTCCTCTGCATGGGACCAGAACTTGTGAAAATTGCAGACTTTGGATTGGCCCGAGAAATCCGATCACGACCTCCATACACAGACTATGTATCTACCAGATGGTGAATACGATCTTCCTCAAAATTATTTAATTATAGTTCTTTACAAATATACCATTATTTGTATATTTCTATATATATACATATATATATACAAATATGTATATATGTATATATAATGAGGGTAATATTAATGTCACCAATATTAACTTTTCACCAAGAGAAACAGTGCAGTTCGAAACACGGGTTTGTAGGTGTGTTGGCATTGTCCACGTTTTAAAAGCTTGTGTTGTAAATAATTTTAAAAGGAAGTCCATTATGCTCTTCCATAATATACATAATATTTTATATTTAGACCTTCCTGAAGACCATTTCCTAAAAGAGTTATGTAAAAAATTCTCCAAGACCTGTTTGAAAAACCAGCTAATTGCTATTATTAAAACTTTCAAACCCTAAGAATTTGATTTAAGCAGTTGGCCATGACCAGGACGTGGCCTACAGACAGCACATTTTATGTGCTGTCTGTCCCTTTTTCCCTCCTCTCTCACTCTCTTTTCCTAGCTCTTGCTCTCACTCTCTGTTTTTCTCAAAGATACTGTGGAGAAGAGTCCTGTAGAGAAATGCTCAATAGAGGGCCGGCCCTGTGGCTTGGTGGTTAAGTGCGCGCGCTGCGATGCTGGTGGCCCGGGTTCGGATCCCGGGTGCGTATCGAGGCACCACTTCTCCGTTCATCCTGAGGCCGAGTCCCGCATGCAGCAACTAGAAGGATGTGCAGCTACGACATACAACTATCCACTGGGGCTTTGGGGGGAAAAAATAAAAATAAATAAAATCTTTGAGAAATGCTCAATAGAAAATACCCTGAAATAGAGCAGCACTGATTTTGACAGCAGCCACAGCAGCTGCCAAGGCTTCAGGAGTCCATGTGCCACACTGAACTAGACAGAAAATAGAAATATATCAACTCTCTCAGTGAGAATTGATTATATATTGACTTGACTTCTGGCCGGTGGAAGGAGTGACTAGCAGCTCACCTTTGTCCCTCCAGGTATCGGGCTCCAGAAGTGCTCCTGCGGTCCACCAACTACAGCTCCCCCATTGACATCTGGGCCGTGGGCTGCATCATGGCCGAAGTGTACACCCTCAGGCCACTCTTCCCTGGGGCCAGTGAAATTGATACCATCTTCAAAATTTGCCAGGTGTTGGGGACACCAAAGAAGGTAATGACACAGAACAAAGGCCTGTGGCCCGAAGCCAGCAGCTTCCTGTGCTCCCTCTCCTGCACCCTGTGCAGCACTGCATGCTGATCACCCCCTCTTCTGGTATCTTTTTCTGGAATCCTCCACTGCCCACCTTCTCAGACATGGCCGCTTCACTCTCTCCTTCTGCTCTTAAGTAGAAGAAACGTTTGTCACAGCTCCCTCTGCTTTTCTTTCTATGTCATCTCACCTCCCTTGCAGAGCTTCTCTCTTCTCATGGCTACAACTCTTGTATTTCTTCACGAGTCTCCTAAATGCCAACTGTGGCCCTCACCTCCCTCCTTCATCACTCCGTTCACATATTGACAACTGTCTGTGAGATTTTCTCCTGACGCCCCCCCCATCACCTCAGACTCAGCATGTCTGACACAGTTGCTTTTTGTTTACCCTTCAACTCGCTTCCTTCTTGCATTGCCCATTTCTGTCTGTGGTCCCTTCATAATCCCAGAGCCCCAGCCTGAGGCTGAGTTTCAGTTTTACCCTCTCTCTTTCCCTTGCTCCCCTTTCCCCTGAACAAGCAGTTGGCCCGTAAGTAAATCCTGCTGAATATCTCGGCATGGTATCTCTCACAGCCGCCATCACAGACTTCATCACAGGCTGTGCCGGAGCCACAGTCTGCTGTGACTGGAGGTGACAGTCCAGTCACTGGGACTGTGGTGGTGTCTTCTCAATTTTTCTGCCTTCAAGTCTTTTCCCTCCAGCTTATCTTTCAGTCTGCGGCCAGATTCATCCTCCTAAAGAATAGCTCTGGTACTATCCTCCCCTCCTAAAATATTCGCTGACTCCCATCGCCCAGCCCCCTTAATGCTTATCCCCTGTCCCCCACTTTGTCTCCACACCCCTCCTGGCTGTGTGCCCTGGACTCGCCCCACTTCTGTGCTCTGTGTATACACGCTCTGCCGGAGTGACAGTCCCTCACACACCCGAATCCGGCTCTCCTCCAAGGCCTCTCAGGAATCTTTGCCCTCACGCTTCCTCTCATCTCCGTTCCATCTTCAGCAGTGTTCTGTGTTATTAATAGAATTATATGTGTACATATCTGTTTCTTGGACCATAAACTCACTCAGGACAGAGATTTGTCTTGTGTTTGTGTTTATTTTCTAGGTCTTGGCAACCTTCCTGCTACAAACCAGACCCTTAAAATTTTTTTTAAATCATTTAAATGAATCATTAATACCACCTCTTCAGGAAGATTTCCATAATTCTCTGCTGGAATCTCCTCCTTCTCTGGATAACTGTATCTGTCTCTCTCGTGACCTTTGTTATTTTTTATTCTGTATTATTGTGTTTTTATTTATTTATTTATTTATTTTTGGTGAGGAAGATCAGCCCTGAGCTGACATCCATGCCAATCTTCCTCTTTTTGCCGAAGAAGACTGGCCCCGGGCTAACATCCATGCCCATCTTCCTCTACTTTATTTGGGACACCACCACAGCATGGCTTGACAAGCGGTGCATCGGTGTGCACCCGGGATCCAAACCCACAAACCCTGGGCCACTGAAGCGGAGTGCGCACACCTAACTGCTGTGCCACCAGGCCGGACCCTATTGTGTTTTTAAATAAATATCTTATTTTCTCTTTTGGACAGTAATATCCTTAAGGGCAGGATTCATATTGGATTATTTTTGGATCCTTCACAACACTAGGCATATTGTAGGCACTTGGTGACTGAATGAATGATAAAAGCTATATATCCTGACACTTCACTTTAAAAACATAAAAAGCAATCACATAAGAATGTGTCTTGTAAAATAGTGGTATGTTGGAACTAGAAGGGACCTTAGAGACTATTTGTTCATCATTTTCCGTCACTCGCTCCATCATTTAGTGTCCCATAGGCATGAAGCATGAAAAGTGGAGAGCTGAGACTGGGCGGAATGGCTTTCTTTACTGCTGTACTTCTCAGCATATATATTTTGAATCAAGATGAGGACAGAGTACAATGTAGGGTCTCACAAATTTATTTCACCAAGGTGAAACAAGGTGTTTTGTTTTATTTTTTCCCCCCAAAATTAGCAGTTTCTAAAACCTCTGTCTCATGGAACACAATTGGAAAGACACTAATTTGGTTTAACCCCCAAATCTCAAGAGATGAACTGTCTTGCATTGTTAAGGTTATAAAACAAGTTCATGGCAAATCCAGTGTCTTCTCCACTGTTCCCCAGACCTCATGTTCTTTGTAGTCTCTCCATTAGCGTCCTCCTGTGTTTCATCACACACGGTGCCACCGTCGTGAGTACGGGCGTGGTAATGACATGATTGCCTTTCTGTCATGGACACATGTGCTAGAATATAAACTCCTATCACTGTGATTGGCTGAGCATGATTTTCTGTCTTTTCCTTCTTTCAGACTGACTGGCCTGAAGGCTACCAACTTTCAAGTGCAATGAACTTCCGCTGGCCCCAGTGTGTACCCAATAACTTAAAGACCCTGATTCCAAATGCTAGTAGTGAAGCAATTCAGCTCCTGAGAGACATGCTTCAGTGGGACCCCAAGAAACGGCCAACAGCTAGTCAGGTTTTCTTCCACTTTCTTCTGTTTGATGCGTTTCTTGTGAAGTTTGTATCTAACTCCGAATAATTCCTCTAAGTCTCATGGGAAATATTTTATTTGGTATTACGGGTGAAAAATAGTGTTGAATACCACTAATGGTGAACTATTTCACGTATAAGAACTTAAAATAGTTTGAAATTTTCTGTATAGTTAAAGTAGTGAAGGTTTAAATAATATAGTTGCTTTGAAAATTGGCATGCAATTTATGTGCTATATCACCATATATGTGGAAATGAGAACAAATAGATATATCTACCTGTCTTTGGAGAATGTTTACAAAAATATTTTCTATGAGTTAAGATTATGAAGCAGTTTGTTTATAACGCAGTACTGATTGTTGAAAGGCAGTTTGAAAATATCTTGTAAAATCCAACTCACTCATTTTACTGATGACAGAGAGTGACAGATGAGAGAGAGCTAGGATAATAACTGTAACTAGCATTTTATAGCACTTTTCAGTTTGCAAATGCTTTAGTATGTTTTTATGTGATTTTAACCTCCTGAAGACTCCATGAGGTAGGTGTTACTGTTTTTATTCTATAAATGAGAAAACGGAACCTCAGACAATTTGAGCTATTTGCCAGTAATTAGTACAGATATTGCAACCAACTGCAATTCACTGATGTGGGTGGCAGGTCTTCTGACTCCACACCTCCTGTTTTCTCAACCTGCCTCCCCCAAGCCCCTTGGACTTAGATGATCAAATGCACCCAAAACCCACGTGGTAGTGCTGTGGGCTTTAGCCATGCCCATGCCTCCTGCCAGCTTCCTTTTGCATTAATTGCTTCTAGCCCCTTCTCAGCTTGTCCCATTGACAATTACATTGCTCAGAGGATCAAAAAAGTGACCAATTCTGATCAGAGGCATGATTTGGCTAAGCGAAAATGACAGAGACAGTTGAAGACAGTTTCGATGTGATGTTAGAATTTGTGAGAGCTGGAGAGGTGACAGTTGGGGGAATTAGGGGACTGTGGAAAAGCAGCTTTCCAAAGGCCCAAAGAAGAAAGAGCCATAATTTGGTACCAAAAGACTCTGGATGGCTCGAGAGGGTTAGAAAGTCCTCAGAAATGCCCTTCTGGTGATGCAATTCACAAATGTTGTCAGGGCAGGAAGGAAGCTTTCTGATGAACCCAGTTTTTTGAAGGATACACACAAGAGATGAAGAGAAAAAGATTCTGTAACAAGGAGCCAAGAGAGGAACGTGTACTTCTAAGAATAGTGTCAGAGGGCCGGCCCCGTGGCTTGGTGGTTAAGTGCGCATGCTCTGCTGCTGGCAGCCCGGGTTCAGATCCCAGGTGCGCACTGATGCACCGCTTCTCCGGCCATGCTGAGGCCGCATCCCACGTACAGCAACTAGAAGGATGTGCAGCTATGACAGACAACTATCTACTGGGGCTTTGGGGGAAAATAAATAAATAAATAATTAAAAGAAAAATTAAGAATAGTGTCAGAAAAGCTAAAAACGTCCCCAAATCAGTTGAGACTTGCAGAATGCCTGGGACTACAGAGAAGACGTTTCAAGTTAGCTGTCAGGGTCCAGAATGTCTACGAGAGTATCCACATTATTTGCCCCTGTGTCCACACTTACGAATAACCATTACAGATGTTGATAGCTATGTCCTAGAGTCATTAAGGAAGATTATGTTATATGTTCAATGAGTTCCACTCAGAAAGACTAGGCAATTCAGGGAATATTTCAGAAGGATAAACCCAGCACTCTAAGATTTATCCCTCGGCTACCCAGAAAACTTGATTATCTTGATAGCAAGCTTTAACTGTATCATGCATTACTCTCTTGGCTTTTCAGGGGATATATCTTCAGGCTTTTCAGCAGATATATCTGCTTATTTTACACTTGATTCTTCAGAGTCATCCTGGATCATTCTCTGTGGCTCTCTCAGTTTTATATTATTTTTTTCTGTCTATGGAACCAAGAAATGGGCTTAGAAAGGTGAAATATCATATTCAAAACACGTAGCAAATAAGTTACAAAGCCAGGATCTGCATTGAGCCTGAATACTTTTCAGAAGTAGCGAGGTAGCAGCAGTATAACTGGCTGCTTTATGCAAATAATTTCAAGTGTTGCAACCAGTGCATACATTTTACGCTATTTTAGATATGGAAAATCACAAGGGGTGTTACAGATTCAGGATCCTGTTTCACAGTTGGTTTGGGCTAAGGAACTGTAGTAAGTAGTTACGTGAAATCTTGCCCCGTGATCCTGAATGGTGTTAACCTTCGTGGCCAGATTCTACTCCTAAAGCAGACTCATATGTCATTCTAGGCACTTCGATATCCTTACTTCCAGATTGGGCACCCCCTGGGCAGCACCACACAGAGCCTTCAGGATTCAGGAAAAGCACAGAAGGACATCCTGGAAAAGGCAGGCCCACCTCCTCACATGAAGCCGGTCCCTCCTGCCCAGCCCCCAGCCAAGCCACACACGCGGATTTCTTCCAGGCAGCATCAAGCCAGCCAGCCTCCTCAGCATCTCATCTGTCCCTACAAAGCAGGGGTTTCCAGGGCAGATCACCCGAGCCATCTCCCGGAGGACAAGCCAAGCCCGTTTCTCTTCCCGTCCCTCCACACCAAGAATCCTCAGCCGGTAAGCAGCAAAGAGGTGCTCATGAGCCTTGTGTCTGGCCGCCGCTCTTCTGACCCCACTTATTGTGTGAAATATTTTCTTTTTCAGCATATAAGGTCGAATTATAATAGACTTATCTTTGCAATATCATGGAATTGTAAAAAGAGCCCTGGCTTTGGAGTTAAAGATCTAAATCCAGGTTCCAGCTCTGCCTGTGAATAATGGAGCTGCGTATGGGGGGCGGCTGTGCTGTGGTGGTGCAGAGCTGGACGTGGCAGCCAGATTGCCAGGGGCTCAAATCTTGGCTCTGCTATTTCATAGCTCGATGACCCTCTGAAAGTCACCTAGCCTCTCTGCTCCTCATTTCCTCATCTGTAAAAGAGATAATAATAGCACCTGCCTGATACAATTCTTTTGAGGACAAAATGAGTTAATACTGGCAAGAATTTAGAATAGTACCTGGCACCTGGTTAGAAATTGACAAATATTAGTCATTGTTATTATTAACCCCTGTGGACTCAGTTTCCTCGTCTGTAAAAGGAAGATCCTAATGCCTGTCTTGGCAACCAGACAGAGCTGTTCATGAGGATCAAAGGTCACAATGCTTGAGAAAATGTTTTGAAAATCATAAAGTACCATACTAATATTTTTAGGTTGTTATTCCTATTAATGCCATCAATTGATGTTGTTAACTGAGCCCAGATCTTTCTCCTCTTCTGGGGCTGGTGTTCAAAAGGAAACAATGAGTGTTAGATTCAATAAAATGATAATTTGACAACGGAGTCTAGTTACCATTAACTTTGTAATGCTGTCTCAAGAGTCTTGTTTTCTATCACCTTTATGCAAAAGTAGTACTTTTTCTGTCAACTAGTGTTCACTCGCTGAGCGCTGGCCCCCAGCTAGTGCCATGTGAGATACTGGGTGAGGTCACAAGGCGGGTGTCTCTAGGCTGTTCGCTTTGCCCCAGCCCATGACTTGAAAGCAGTGTGTGTTTAGAAATTTTCTGTTGTAGCTAATTCTGTAGTTAAGAGATAGGATCCAGGTCTACTTGGCAGGGAAGGCATTATTTGCGTAGTTTTCTGTATTGGAGCAGGACCACTGACATCTTAGCTACATTCTCTTCTGTCTCTATTTGTGACAGTATAAATCAGGTTAACTCTTTCAGGGGTGAGGCCTGAATGAGAATCCAGCCATCTTCCTAGTATGTGAGAAGTACCTTAGATTTTTTTTTTTAAGCTTTGTCTTATCCAGCTGAGTGTGCCCATTGGACATAAACCGATGTAATCTGTGCAGGACCGTGAGAGACGGGTCTGGGAATGGGTATTCCCCGGTTCCCTTTCAGATAACTTGCATATTGGGGAATGGTATGCCCCAGAATCCTCCTTTCCATAACCAAGAAAGTTCAGAATGGGGATTACTCGTGGGTGAGCTCCATTAATGCTAAGTATTGCTTTTTCCCCCTCTCCTTGTATTCACAGAAAATCCTAGCTGGCCTGGAGCACAAAAATGGTGAGATCAAGCCAAAGAGTAGGAGGCAGTGGGGTCTCGTTTCTAGGTCAACAAAGGATTCCGATGATTGGGCCAACTTGGATGACCTGGACTTCAGTCCCTCCCTCACCAGGATTGACCTGAAAAACAAGAAGAGACAGAGCGATGAGACTCTCTGCAGGCGAGTGGGTGGCTTCTGTCCATAAATGGACTCATCTGGGATTTGTGGGATGATCTTTCCCGTCTGATGATGCTTCCTGTCTCGTGCTGGCCTAAGCCGCGTTCTCTCCCTTCAGATTTGAGAGTGTTCTGGACCTGAAGCCCTCTGAGCCCGTGGGCACAGGAAACAGTGCCCCAATCCAGACTTCATATCAGAGGCGAGACACGCCAACCCTGCGATCTGCGGCCAAGCAGCTCTACTTGAAGCACTCGCGATACTTGCCTGGTAGTATAAATACTTGCGTTTACTTTGACAGTTGATAAGAAGTCGTGTCCCTGGAATCACATATTCACAAAGATTCCAATTTGGAAGGCAAGTGCTTGGAGCTTCTCTTCAGAACTGGCAGGAACATCGTAAAAATATTTGCTGAAGGGCCAGCCTGGTGGTGTAGCAGTTAAGCTCGCGCACTCCACTTCTGGCGCCCAGGGTTTGCGAGTTTGGATCCCAGGTGCAGACATACACACCGCTTATCAAGCCATGCTGTGGCGGCGTCCCGCATAGAAAGTAGAGGAAGATGGGCACGGATGTTAGCCCAGGGTCAGTCTTCCTCAGCAAAAAGAGGAAGATTGGCAATGGATGTTAGCCCAGGGCTGATCTTCCTCACACACAAAAAAACAAACTATATATACTTGCTGAAGCCCAGGCCTCACATTTTTACTTTATATAGTTGCCTAAGATAAGAAATTTGGTAGAGGAAACTGGGTCCAGCCCCCGGGGAGGGAGGAACTGGAAAGTGCCAGGCAGCAAGGCTGAGGCCCCAGCACCAGTCCAGTTTAGGAGAAATTGCCAGTCCTCTCAGGAAACCAGGGAAGAGCTTAGTCTCACCATCCAGCAGTACTGCAGGGGTTAAGTGTCAAAGCTATAGTTTGGAGGGCCTCTCTCCAGATTCCCAAGGCTCTGTCCAGATTCTCTGGATTCCAAGCTTATAGCATTAGCCAACGATTCATTCACAAATTCATCCAATCAGCAAATAAGTTTGAGCACCTACCGTGTGCCGGGCCCTGGGAATGTTATGGTGAACAAAGTGGCCAAGCGGGGCCACTGGGCTGCCCAGCTCCAGGAGGCTCCACTCACATCACATTGTGTGCGGGGACTTTATACGGCAGCCCCACAGGCAGTACTCTCGCCCTCCTGCAGCGTATTTTCTAGTGCTGGGAGACAGACCTAAACAAACAGACACACAGAGTACAGGTGGTGAGAAGTGATGGTCAGGGTGATGCAATGGGGGGAGGCACTTTAGATAGAGTGGTCAGGAAAGGCCTCTCTGAGCGGGTAACTCCCAGCTAGGCCCCAAAGAAGGGGAAGGAGCTAAGTGTGCAGAGAGCTGAGGGAGGAGCACACCAGGCAGGAAGCAGCAGTGCAGAGGCCTGGGGCGAGAAAGGGCTTGTGAGGAATGGCCGAGAGGCCACTGTGGCCAGAGTATGGTAAGAGGGTGATCTGGTATGTAGTACGAGGCATCTTTTCTGGTTTTGTAAGAAATTTGGATTTTATTTCATAAGCAATGGAAGCTCTTGAAGGGTGTTCATTGGAGAGCATCATGGTTTTACCCACATCTGTGTGCTCAGTGGGTGGGGGCCGGCGAGCTGTAGCTGTTGTCTAGGTGAGGGGACAGGGCTGGGGTCCCAGGGGAAGGAATGAAGGTGGGAAGGGCTGGCCTGCTGATGCATTGATTCCTCACCCTTCAGTGAGGAACAGGGCTTCTAAATACTGCCAGACTTCATCAGGGTTGGCATTGTTGTCTTAGAAGATTGGCCTGACAGTTCCTAGGATGACCTGGAAGAAGAGAGACCAGATGACAGGGTGCATGGGGCAAAGACTCCAACTACAGTGACCCCGGGCAAAAGGGAGCAGGGAGTGAGTTGGAGAGTTGTTTCTCTTTGGCTCTAGGGGAAGAAGGAGAAGGAAGAAGATGAATTCAGTCTTTCAGTTCGGAAAAATAGCTGCCGTGCCTGACATAAGGAGGAAAGTGGGCAGTCCGGAGGGAAGGTGGTTTGGCTTGAGGTTGAGGTCAAGGCAGCCGTGGACGTGAGGGAGTTGGTGAGGATCGTTGGTATAGACCAGAGTCACCAGCATTTGATGATGGTCCAGGTCAGGTGAGAAGATGCAATCTCGGGGGACAGAATGCAGAAAGAGGAGAGCAGATGGGGGGTGGGGGTGAGGGATGAAGGAGAACTTGGAAAGGTGACAGAAAGGCAGCAGTCTGTGAAGGGGGATGAGTAGGAATGTCCAGGAGCACTGAAGCCCAGGACAGCACCAGAGGGGTCAGACATATGACATGGGACAGATCTGTTGGTAGAAGTTTAAGAGACCTCTCTCAGGCCACCCAGCAGTGAGACGACATACTAAACCCAACGATGGTGTCTTTCCTCTACCATCTCTCACACGACATCAGCACAGCCAGTTTTTGCTTAGATCTTGAACCATAGGAAGGTTTTGACAGATTGGTTCTGTGTTAATTTCACCTCTGAAGCCTGGTGCAAGATTAAATATGTATTTTGCATTTTAAAATCATTTCTTCCCTATTAGGAATAAATATAAGAAACGGCATGCTCTCGAATCCAGGCAAGGATTTTATTCCATCTAATCCATGGTCTAGTTCTGGTTTGTCTGGAAAATCTTCAGGAACGGTGTCGGTAATCAGCAAAATAAACTCAGGTGAGTAATGGTTGTTAATTCCTAAATGACAAGAAGCAAATTCTCTGGATGCAGCAGGGTGGGTACAGAGAGATGCGGGCGCAAGCTGTGGAACCAGGAGGGCCTTTCTGGTGTGAAAACCCTGGGCCTCTTTTCCAGGCCTGTGCTCCTCTCTCTCTCCCCCTCTCCCCCCACCTTCTTGCTCGCTCGCTCTCCTGCACTCTCTCTCCCCCTCCCTCTCTCTCCCTCCCTCCCTCTCTGCAGCAGGCCCTGGGAGCTGAACCGCAGGGTCTGCCCTCAAGAGTAGCTGGGGAGGAGAACAGTCTTCCCTGGCTCATGGGAAAAACAAAAATAACTTGACAGAGCCTTACAGAGTCTGACTTCTGAGGCCGGCTCTGAGGTGGGCGGCCTCCTTCTGAGGTGGAAATTGAACTCAGCTCCGGCTGACTTGCTCCGGCTGACTTGCTCCAGCTCGTCCCCTCCGTCTGGTGACCCAGCCATAGCCCATGGCGTCGGAACCCCTTCTGGTTGGAAGGGGTACTCTTTGGAAGGCCCGCTCCACTTCTTTTGAAGAGACGAATGAATTTCGGAAGCCTTCCAGGCTGACTAACCCCGTTCCCAGCAGACTGGTTTCCCACACCATTTTCCCTCGCCTGGGGAGCCCCTACTGTGTGCTGCTTCTGCTTCCACAGGGCCCAGGAAACATCTGGGCCTCACTTCTCCCTGCCTTTATCCATTGTGTGTTCAGTAACTTTAAGGAATACAAAAAGGAAGGAAATGATACGTCAACACCCATACACTCACCACCAGCTCAAGGAGTCAGACTTTGCAAATACACACGAAGCCCAGTGTCTAGTCCTTCCCTCCCTTTTCTCTTCCCCTCCCTCCCCGACCTCCTGCCTGATTTGGGTGTTTATTATTTCCATGCATTTTTTAAAATATACATGAGGGGCCAGCCCAGTGGCGCACTCCGCTGCTGTGGCCTGGGGTTCCCAGGCTCGGATCCCAGGCGCGCACTGACGCACCACTTGTCAAGCCACGCTGTGGTGGTGCCCCATGTAAAGTAGAGGAAGATGGGCACGGATGTTAGCCCAGGGCCAATCTTCCTCGCCAAAAAAATAAATAAAAATAAAACAAAATAAAATATACATGAAATACATAGTATGTTTTGCATGTTTTAAAATTTGTATGCGTATAACCCTAGATATCCACTTCACTCATTTTAATAATTGTATTAGGATGTAATAATTATATATATAAGATATACATTGTATAACATATACAATATATGTAACTATACCGTAATTTATTACTTCTACTAGACTATAATTTATTTATCCCTTCTCTTCTTGACGACCTTGTAAGTTGTGTACAGTTTTTGCTGTTAGAAAGAGGGCTGACATGGGGCCGGCCCCGTGGCTTAGCGGTTAAGTGCGCGCGCTCCGCTGCTGGCAGCCCGGGGTTCGGATCCCGGGCGTGCACCGCTTCTTCGGCCATGCTGAGGCCGCGTCCCACATACAGCAACTAGAATGATGTGCAGCTATGACATACAACTATCTACTGGGGCTTTGGGGGGAAAAAAATAAATAAATAAAATCTTTATTAAAAAAAAAAAGAAAAAGAAAGAGGGCTGACATGAACATCGTCGGCCTCCATTGTTGTGCACCTATGTGAGGGGTTCTCTGGGTGTAATGCAGACATGTTAGGTTAAAGGGTGTGCTCGTCTTGGACTTTACAGATGTTGCCAAATTGCTCTCCAGCAGGGTATGGGAGTTGTGCTGCATCCTTGATGCCACTTGGTACTGTCAAGATTGCGAAATGTGTGCTGATCTGATGGGTGTGGAATGGCATCTTATTATGGCTTAAACTTGCATGTCCTGTTTACTAATGAGGTGGAATGTCTTTTCCTGTGTTTGTTGACTGTATGTTTTTTTCCCTTTTGTGACTTACTTGTTCAATCTCTCTTTTCCCGTTTTTCTTCATATCTATCTGTTCACCAAAAATGCAAAATGTGCTCCAGCCGACAACACAACTCCTCACACGTGCATTCCAGACCATTTGCCCCTCTGCCTTATTCAGTTGCCAAGAATGCTGTGTGTCGTGAAGCACCTCTGCTGTTCATTAACTCTTTTCCTAACGGATGTAACTTCCATTCGAATAATGGCCCATAATAACATTGTTCATCATTCCATGTGTACTGTTAACCCCTCATAATAAGGCCGATTATAGATATTCATTCACCCACCCAATATGTATTGATTACTTGTTATATGTAAGGCATTTCATTAACATCCTAGAATACTAAGATGAGGACATACAGTTCCGGCCCTTAAAGCACTCTCAAGATAGAAATGACATAAAAAGTGAATGGATTTAATATAATTTAATAATGATTAATTTTTCTGATTATGGACAAGAATATTTAGTGTAGAATTACTTGTAAATAATTAAGATAACCTGTGTGCTGATCAATAAGACAATGGTTAAATGAATTACGATTTAGCCATACTCTAGAATTTGTATATACTGACATGGAAGGATAACTATTCTATATTATGGAGTGGAAAAAGCAAATTGCAGAAGAGGATAAACCTATTATTCCAAAAAGAAAGAAAATTCCAGATTTCCTTTTTCTTTAACAAACCGACCAACCAGCCTCCATGTGGGTGCAGGCCACAGGAGCAGCATGGTCTTTGCCCTCCGAGTCTTTCTGACAGTGTGGTGTGGTGGAATGCTCTGCTCAGAATTCACTGTTTCTATCATAATTCTTTTTTCCTCCCTAATAGTCAAAACCTATTCTTTGTTGTTCTGCACCGATGTCCTTTAACCCTGTGATGTCATGTGCATGTGTCCTTGTAGTAATGAGCTTTTCCTTTTGCAAATCAGTTGGTTCTGGCTCTACAAGTTCTAGTGGACTGACTGGAAACTACATCCCTTCCTTTCTGAAAAAAGAAATTGGTTCTGCTATGCAGAGGGTGCACTTGGCACCTATCCCAGACCCTTCGCCTGGTAAGTTCTATTTCGGATATTCATGAATTGACTCGACAAATAGTTACTGGACAACTGCTTTGTGCCTGGCATGTGTAGGCCTAGGGTCCCCCAGGGAAGGAGGCAGACAAAGCTCCCTGTCCTCGTGGAGCTTGCACTCTCTAAACAGTAAGGAAACCGAATAAGATGCTCATAGGTGCTCAGGAGAAAAATAAAGCAGGCAGGAGGTGGGGAGTGTGGGGGTTGGAGTGTGGGGTGCAGAGTGCAGCTTTAGAGAGGGTACCAAGAAGACCGCACTGCAAAGGAGACGTTGAGTAAAGATCTGAAGACAGTGAGGGAGCTAGCCATGCAATATGGGCGAGACTGTTCCAGACGTGTGATTCTTAGTGCGTGGCCTTTGAGGCAGGACAGGCCTGGCATATTCCAGGGCTAGCAGGGAGTGCAGGAGTGGCATGAGTGGGAGGGGGGGAGCAGGGAGAGGAGGTCAGAGAGGCAATAAGATGCCCGACGGGATGAGGCCCTGCAGGCCACCGTAAGCATGTTGTCATTGACTCGGAGTGACATGGGAACCACTGGAGGGTTTTGAGCAGAGGAGTGAGGTGATCTGACCTTCATCTTCCAGGCTCACTCAGTGCTGGTTGTCACTAGATGGAAAGTGGGGAGCAAGGTTGGAAGCAGGGAAACCAATTGGTTTCCTGGATAACCCTTGCAATTATCCAGCAAGGGATGATGCTGGCCTGCGCCGGGCTGGTAATAGTGGAGTTTTCCAAATTCTGGGTATATTTGGAAGGGAAAGCCAATAGGATTTGCTGACAAATTATAAGTAGGATAAGAGAAGAAGAGACAGGACAGGAATGACACCAGTATTTTTGGCTTACAGCCATATAATGGGGTTGTCCTTACTGAAAGAGGGAAGACAGTGAGTAGGAGGCAAATGCTGCTCTTGAGCTCTCATTTTCTGATATTTTTGTTACCAAGATGCATTTGTCTGCACTTTGTTTGCATGGGTCCCATATCAATCAGACCCACCTTTCTCTTTCACTGCAGGTTATTCTTCCCTGAAGGCTGTGAGACCTCATCCTGGGCGACCTTTTTTCCACACCCAGCCTAGAAGCACTCCTGGGTTGATGCCCCGGCCTCCGGCCGCCCAGCCGGTGCACGGACGGACGGACTGGGCCTCCAAGTACGCGTCTCGGCGATGACTGTCATGAAGCCCTTTGTAGGGAAAGCAGGACACTGTCCCTCAGCCCACTGGTTCTACCTGCAAGAAACTTTCAAGTGGTACAAAAGCAAACAAATACTTTACAGTTACCTTCTGAACTAAGACATTTCAATATTCTTTAAAAAATTTGTTTTTAAATATTGATTTGAATGCAATACCCTTTTTTTGTACAAAATTATTTTATTCTAAAACTGGGTCCCATTATTTTCTTAAGCAGTAGCATTTTGTATATATGGATTATGTTTTAGCATTTTATACAGTCAACTTTGTAATGAACTTTTTAAAGATTAATTGGTTTTCTTTTGAGGTTCCAGGTATTTTATACAGATTTTTAAAAACGTAATAATATTGATGCAGTATTGCAACAGGGGTACAATTTAAAGCTATGTGATAAAGGGTTATTTACTCAACGTGTGGGGATATTTGTGAAGTGCTTAAATTTTAAATGTGGCACATCAGGTACTTTCAGCTTTCTGGGACTGATATCAGCACTAGAAAAATGATCTGCTTTTCTCAATATCATGTTATTGGTTTGATTTTTTGATACCACTGTGCTGTTCTAAAAGTACTATTATGTAATTCACTTTCTTCTGTTCTTGTTCCCCAGATGAAAGAACTCTTAAGTAAATACTTTTTGACATTTTTACAATACCCTTTGTGGTGGTTGGAGATATCCAGGAGAAACCTAGAGTTATATGCTATGCCATCACATTCTATTTTCTTCCATTTATGAAATCAAATTGTATAAGTACCCACAAAAGGGAAGCCTTTCAACCAAAAGGTTCTCCACATAAAGGTTAACACAGTCAATTAAACTTATATCCCTACCAAGATGCATGACCAAAAAGCTGTTTCAAAGCAGCAGAAGATTTTTATATAATAACTGATAGAATTTTGCATTCAGCTCAGTTCTCCAGGCCTGGCTGGGAACAGACAATGAATAATCTTCTGTCCTAGCCAAATTCTCAGGGCAATTTGGGAAGCAGAAAAGATGTATGGCAGATGTTCACTTATCTGGGAAGTCACGGTTACCGTGATGTTAGTGTCCATGGAGTGCCACATTTGAACTCTTAACCCTTGTGTAGTTTCTTTCAACAGTGAGAACTCTGTTGGGCAGAGGCTGTCCCATTGAGAGGAATGTTTACAGCAATTCTGAAAATGACAAAGCTAGTTTGGAGATAGAAAAAAACAAAAGGTCCACTTTCATCCATCTCTTTGGGGCACAAATTTGCCTCCACTCATGGTTACCTGAAAGGCAAGGGGAAGGTCACCACTGGTGAATATGATATAATCGCAATAGTGTATTGACTCACATTCTCTCAAGGCATTTGGTTCCAGGTTCCAGGATAGAGCAAGTTGACCCATATGAAATTGTCATTTTTGTAGGTTAAAATGAATATTGGCACTTGGACATGGTTCAGCGTAATAAAGTTGGTAAATTATTGCTTTGAGGTATTAATAATACGTTGCAGCCTGAACAAATCGCTGTGGCTCCCAGAGAGCCTGAACCTAAAATCAGGGAGTATTTCTGCTTTGGAGAATCTGGCTCAAAAATGTATTTGACCAAGCACTAGAGGCATGAGGAAAGCACATAACGGATGTGGATTTGATAAGTAATATTTTCCTGTTAACAAACTGGCGGCAAAGCTTCAGAAAATAAATATGTATATGTACGCACAACTTGAAGTTGAATTCATTTCTGTATTATATTCTCAACTCATTATCTAAAGCAACAGAAAATGTGTTTTCAGAGATGAGTCCTTTACTGAGGTTAATATTTATTTTCCCTTTCTGTATTGTGTATAAAGAATAATTTAACCTGTAACCTTAGCCAGCTTGCTGGAAAGCTGGTTTTAAATTGTAAATACCCTTTAGGGAAGCAAATGGATTGTGAATACCATATTCTTGGCACTCTAGCTTATGTTAAGGTCATTACATATTTTTTTAATTGAAAAACCTAGTTACCTGGTTATTACACATTATAAAATTGTTTCTTAATACTTTTATAGGGCCCAAATTCAGAAAATATTGTACTTTTCTTCCTTTTCCTCTTTCCTTTGTTTATTAGCAAACAACTTCCCTTGGGAAGCCAAACATATTTATTCATATGAAAGTCAAGAAGCTAATGCACAGTTGAGAAAACTAGAAGACTGAAAAAACAACGTCAATTCTAAAGAACTAGCAAAATCCTGATGTTCTCTGTTTTTTCCCCCAGATGGGTAAAGGACACATTGTGTGTACAAGCTGTTTACTGTAGAAGGGAATAGTGACCATTTTTTGTTAAGTGAAAATAAAATCTACCTGTTGCATATATTTTTTAGTTACTATAGCATTATGAAATGTACTGCAAGACACCAAGAGGAATGATGAGTTTCACTGCACCTACCCGTGACTGTGCCTCATTTCAGAGTCAGAAAGCTTTCCGGGACATCAGGAGATGGTGCAGGGCTGGTTCTCATTCAGTGACAGTCGTGTGCCAGGGGGTCCATGTGTAAACTGCAGGGAAACTGCATGAGTGTAAAAGCTACTCTTGGTGTCATTGTTCGTTTTACAATAAAATTCCATTCATTACCAAGCCCTCCCCCAGCTCATGTATGATAGGATTTAAGTAGGAAGAAAATTGATTTTCAAACAATTTTTAGACACATCTCTTGTCTAAAGGACCATGTACATCTAATAAATTGACACTATGTCATCTTCCAGAGTTATCAAAAATTGAATACAATCAAGGAAAGACATGTAAAACAAAACAAGAGTTGTTTTGTTTTTAAGTACCAATACCAGTACCATTGGAGTTCACGGGCACCATGTTTTCTCATGAAGTAGCATTTCCCTACCATCAAGCCATTGTTTTGTGCCATTTAAGAGAGAAAAAAAATACAGGCTGTATGTTTCAGCTCGGTGTATAACCAAAAGCAATATGTTTATAAGAAAATATTTGACATACTAATTATTTTATCTCATTTAAAGCACACTGTAGCAACTTGTTTGTTTAATATATATGGTTAACTTTTAGAATTATTTTTTAAATTTCCAACCAAAGTACTGTATTTTATATAATTTATTGTGAAGACGTTCTCATGGAAACCATTAAGAAGACAAACTGGAGGCAAATGTCACATTGATCTGTATTATCAGTTTCTTAAAGACGCTGTGCTAATGTGAATTTAAAATGATCTGAAAAGTCTTCTGATATCAGATTTCTCAGTACTGAGAGCAGTTTAGTCCCCTGATTGGATTACAAGGGAGTCACTGAGAATATTTATTTATAAAGCAAATATTCATAATGATGAGAAGATAGGAGGACAGAAAACCACTTATGCAAGCCTCCTCTGAAATAAGATGTTGCTTCTTGAATAGTTTGTCCTGAGGTGTTGAAAAACGTTAACTTGACGTAAGGAAAATTCTGCTGCAAATAAAGTTACAGTTTAAGAAAAATTGATTGGAGTGTTGGGGTTTTGTTTTCGTGCTCTGCCATCAAAAGATCACAGTAGTATTTCCTAATTTGGAATTTTGAGATTTTATAACTTCTCCTTAGTGCATACTACAGTGTTACTGCCGTGGAGTTGGAAGCACACACTAGAGCCGCAGTAGGAAGTTATCCTGCAAAGTGGAGGTTTTCTAAATTTAGCTTTTAGCAAGTTAGGTGACTAAGGATAGTTAAAAAAAAAAAAAAAAACAGGTCAAAACTATTTCTTGTTGCCGATGTCATCACGATTAATACCTACCTTGTATGTTGTTACCTTTCAAGGCACACTCATGTGTACAATGTAAACCTTCAAAAGAAGCTCATAACTTCATGAATTATATACAGGATTCCACAGGAAATTCATTTCCCAAACATTCTTTGAATCCCTGAAAGAAGTGTGCAGGAACACGTTTTACCAATCGGACTTGTATTGGTGAATCCCTAGATGTGCCCCTCACCCTCAGAACACGGCTGAGCTGACTGTGTGACCTTATGGCATATGGGCCCACCGTGCCCCTTCAGAAGCCCCACAGATTCAAGCCCTCAGCCATCCTTCTTGCTATAAAAACGCATTGTTAGAATAGGGTCTGATACCAGTCATTTATGGCTAAGGCTGAATTTAAGCCAATTGTTTCCCTCTCCCTGGAGTACTTACGTATAAAGCTTCTCTTAAACTGAGATTTACAGCTGTTGATTTTTAAGGCAATCTTACCTGCTACTGAGTAGGTTGGTGAAGGGTTAAAGGCTGAGAGGCTCTCCCTGGGCCTCTGAAAATACATTAGGTAAATTGATAGACACTGTGAATAAGACTGTCTGAGACGGAGAGCAACTCGAAGGTTTCCAAGAATAGCAGGATTTCAGGGGCTTCCAGGGAATAACATGACCTGAGGGTACCTGTCATAGAATGGCAGAATTATAACAGGACTTTTTATTTCTGCACAAGCATGGTAATAATAGAGTCATATGATAATGCCTTAGTTTCTCTTTCAGGTAAACAAGATTGCTAGGATAGTTTGACCCCTGTAATGTTAGGTTGGACATATGAAGTTGCCATTTTTGTGGGTTAGAAAGAAATAGTAAAGTATCAGCAATTTGATAAGGTTCAAACAATTAGAAATAAGGAAATGGAGATAAATGTTTGGTTTATGAACAAAATTGAATAATCATGTTTGTCCTAACTAGTTTAATTAAAGTGAATCCTTGTAGAAAGATGGGTTGGAAAAAATGAATGATCAGTTTCAGCAGGGTTGGAAAATAATGACTTCCTACCCAGGTTAAATTGAGTAATCCGTGTTAGGTCAGAATTAGAAAGATGAAATTGAACATATACTGTTATTCGTGTTTGAAAGTGTGGCTTTTCTGACTCCTGGGGTGCCCAGCTGTTGTAGATTTTTTTCTCTTCTTACTTTACATCCTTTCTCTGGATCAGCTCATCCTGTTGCTGGCAGTTTGATCCATCTTAGTCTTCTCTTCTGAGTCATCACTGGCTTGTTCAACTGTCTAGTGGACATTTCCAGTCGGATGGCTCATAGGAATGAAAGACAAATCCACTGATTATTATTTCCCCCAAACCTCTCTCCCTCCCTCCCCTGTTTTCCTTCTTTCTTTTCCTTCCTTCTTTCCTTCCACAAGTATTCTCTGAATGCCTACTCTGTGCTAAGCATTATTCTAGGAGCAGGATATACCAAAGTATGTTTTAAAAATATGAAAATCTCTAACCTCAAGGAATTTACCTTCTATCAAATCTACAGACAGATAACAAAATAAATAAAATATCTAGTATGTTAGAGGACAATAAATGTTATGAAAAGAGATGAGGATGGAAAAGGAAATGTGTGTGTGGCTGTGTGTGTGTGTTTGGAGCGGCATCATTCTAGACTTTTCTCTTCCTCCTCTCCCCTACTCCTTAATATCTCACCTTTTCTTACCCATGTTCTTCAGACTCACGGTGCTGCTTGAACTCACACGGATATTTAACAGGTCTCTCATTCTCGACCCTGCGCTGTCCCAATTCATTCTCCACACTTATGTCAGAAATCTACTGAAAATAATATATGACTGTGTTAGCTACTGCGATTGATCAGCACCACAGTCTTCTCAAGCCAGGTAGTCTCAAGAGCCCCTCCTGGGTGAAAACAATAATCAACAAATGTACAGTCTGAGAGCAGAAACCGCCTCTAAAAACAAGAAATAGTTTTGAAGTCCTTTTGAAGGTATATATTTTTAAGTTTAAAATTCATGTGAATTTTGCATCCTACTCTATAATATAGCCTTGATGGTTTTAAAATATGTTTAAAAGTTTCAACTTATTTACCAGCCAAATTACTTGTTTAGCCCCACTGACACCTTCACCCCAATGCCCCCACCTTCCTCCCATCCAGGAAGGTGCTATGTATAGTAAAAATAATAATAAAAAAATATATACATATGTATATACACAAAATGAGAGAAATTAAGTTCTACTGTTTAATAAAATATGCGTTAACAGCACTTTTATGTTATATATGGTACTTTGCCTACATAACACCTTTCAAAAATTCGCTGTATGTACCTTACACAAGTTACCTTACAACTGGTATTTACAAGTCGTTCAGTGTGCTGAGCCTTCACGTTGATGCCTGCTGTATTTTGCCTCCCAACAAAAGTTTCTTAATTACACTGTCAAAAGATTTCTTAGTTACATTGTCAAAAGAAAGGCAGACTGCCACATGCAGCGCCTCATTTGGATGTGTCTGGAGTCTTGGAAGCTTGACTACCCTACGTTCTCCTACAAATGGACCTTGAGAGCTTGTTTGGAGGTTCTAGCAGGGGAGCGCAGCTACTCGTATACCCTTGACCGAAGAACGGTCCTCCTCTATCGGGGAAGGTCGTCCTCTTCGACCGAGCGCGCAGCTTCGGGAGGGACGCACATGGAGCGGTGAGGGAGGAAGGGGACACCCGCCTAGCCAGCCAGATCAGCCGAATCAACCCTGGCGATCAATGGGGTGACAGATGTCGCAGCCAGATCGCCCTCACATCCGAGGGACCACACTTGAGCACGAGGTATATAAACCCTGTAGAGAATGCTCTCTTTTCGCATAGGTCGAGTTGTTTACCACATGCCTGAGCGCTAATAGGAACTTTTAACACAAGTTCAAATCTAACTAACATTTTACAGGTTATTTCACCCTTCAAAATGCTAAAATTGCTGTTGAAATTGGCTTAAATTGGACCTGTTTTTATATTATCCAGAATGCCTTGCAGATGGGTGGGGCATGCTAAATACTGCCGTCTCTATTGGTGAAATCTTCCCGCAGCCTCGCCCACCGTGAGTGCCGTCTGGCCGCCCGCTGCTCCCGCCTCGCCGCAGAGCACTTGTGGTGGGCTTTGTGCGGCTCCAGGTGCTCCGAGCGGCCTCCAGGTCTGTCTCCCCTGCTGCCCCCACCAGCCCCTTCTCCTCTTCTTTCTCCTCCCCTTTACTCTCCCGGCTTCGAGCTTCTAACTCTCCCATCCATCCCGTAACCACTCTTCCATTCAATCCTTCTCTAGTCTCCCTCCCTCTTGTCTTTGGCGCCTCTGCCCCCATCTGGGCATACGTGGGCCCTTGGCTGGGGTTGGGGTCATTCTTGGCTCAGCGTGCGTATTTTTATGAACCCGCTCTGCAGAGTCTGAATCCATTGATGGAAGGCAGGCTCGGATCCTCCCCGGGCCGAGCCCAGCGGGGGCTGAGCGGGGGCGCGGAGTCCCCGGGAGTCTCGTCTCGGGTGGCCGACTGCGTGGCGTGGGAGCATTCGCAAGTCTGGGGGCTCATCTCCCAGCGGGGGCGGGGGACGTGCGGGACCCGGGGGCGGCTACCGCAGGCGTGGCGAGGGACGCACATTTTGCAGACAATAGTAATACTTAGCCTATCCACCTCCCAGTTGCTGTGATAATCAAATATGATGATGCATGTGAAAGTACGAATACTTGCATAGGTTCCAGTGGGTGTGTAATTCTTCTCCGCGTCTGGCCTCTCCAGGCCGAATTTGTAAAATCTAAGATTTTCAAGGTCAAAGTATATGATGTTCTGAATCTGTGAAGTACCGTACTGCTAGCACAGATGTCTTTACAACAAATGGCCCCAGCTTCCTAAGATCCAGAATAAGAAATCAGAAATAGAAACAATATGAAAGCCAAGGTGGTTCGTTTTTTGTTTTTTTAAATGTTTTAAAATGGTGGCATGTTTTTATTGAGTGAGAGAGAACGCAGTAATAATTTAAAAAAACCAGTTTCCTGTGCCAAAATCCTGAATATTCGTTTAGCTCCTGAGCACTGGGTTGAGGACACGAAATTAAGACTGTTCGTGTGCGAGGAGCTGCTGGATTTGTTTTTCAGAAAACCTGAAAGGCCATCATGGCAGCGCAGCCCAAGCTCCACTATCCAAACGGGAGAGGCCGGATGGAATCCGTAAGATGGGTTTTAGCTGCTGCTGGAGTTGAGGTACCCTATATGCTGTTTCTTCACAGATTTGTCGTACAGCCTTGAGACTATTGAGGAAAACATAAATGGCGGAGCCTTGTGGAGTCCTCTCCCACTAACATTACAGACATGCTTCATTGAGTCAGAAGACTCCTTCCTTTCAAGGGGTTTTTTCTTTATAAATGGAATGTCGTTGATGGAATTCTGTTTTACTTTTGACTATTACTTAATCGTTGGCTTCCGATCTACTACCAATAAATTAATAAGGAGAAAAGCAATGAACCTGAAATTTGCCAGTTACTCCCAGAACTTTTAATCATACAATCTCTAGGTAAATTGTGTGTTTATTTCAGTGGCTTCAAACTGGCAGCCTTCTACTTTTGTCTGCCTACGTGTATGCTTCGGCCCACAGTCTTTTTGTTTTTCTTTTGGTTCTGTTCTTTTACCTTCTTATTTATGGAAATTTTCAAATGCGAACAGTGGTAGACAGAACATTACCGTGAATTCCATGTACCCTTCGCCAGCTTCAACAATCATTAGCTCTATGCTAATCTTATTTCTTCTCTCTCCTCCCCTCCACTTGTTTTGTGGGAGTAGGTACTTCAAAGCAAAATCCATACATATTGTTTCATCTGTGAGTACTTCAGTTTGTATCTTGAAAAGATGAGGATTTTAAAACATAACCACAATACCGTCATCACACCCAACAAAATTAACAATTTCTTGTTAGCATCTAACACTCAGTCTGATTGTCTCAAACAGGTCTTTTTATAGTTGGCTTGTTCCAGGCTGGATCAAAATCAGGTCCACGCATTGTGTTTCGTTATGTTTCAATATTTTAAAAATCTCTAACATTTTCTCTGCATTTAAAAAAAATAAACCTTGTATTTGGAAATAATTTTAGATTAATAGGAAAGTTATAAAGATAGTGCAGAGCGTTCCCACATAACTGTCACTCAGTCTCCCCTAATAACATCTTACATAACCATGTCAAAACTAAGAAATTAACATTGGTGCGTAAACTATGGACTTCATTCAAATTTAATTAGTTTTTCCACTAATGTCCTTTTACTGTTCCAGGATCTGACATTATATTTAGTTATTATGTTTCCTTAGTCTCCCTCAATCTGTGGTAGTTGCTCAGTCTTTCCTTTATTTCACAACCTTGACAGTTTTGGAAAGCATTGTTCAGGTTTTTTGTAGAATCCTCCACAGTTTGGGTTTCTCTGATGTTTTTCTCATGATTATACTGGGCTTTGGGGTTTTGGGGGGAAGAATACCACAGAGGTGAAGTGCCCTTCTCATTGTATCATGTTAGGGGTTCCATGATATTAACATGAGTTATCATGGGTGCTGTTAACCTTGGTCACTTGGTGAAGGTGGTGTCTGCCAGGTTTCTTCATTGTAAAGTGGCTATTTTTCCTTCTGTTCTTTGGAAGCGAATCATTAAGTTCAGCCCACGCTCAAAAGGATGGGAATTAAGCTCCGCCTCCTGAGGGGAGAGTATCTGCATTTAGAATTCTTATGTAAGGAAGATTTATCTTTTTCTCTCCATTTATTTATTTATTCAATCATTTGTTTATATCAGTATGGACTTAAGTATATTTATTTTATACTTTGGGTTAAAAATCCAATAGTACTTTATTTTCTTACTCAAATTGTTCCAGCTCTGGCCTTTGTGGCTCTGTCAGGTGGCTCTTGTGTCCTTTCCACAAAGCCCCCGTTCCCTTTTTTCCTTTTAGCGCTTTCTTACTTGCTGACACTACAGGATGCTCCAGGCTCACCTTGTATTTTCCTTGCCCCGGCCTTAGAATCCTGTATTTCTCCAATGAGCCCTGGTCCCTTTTATTAGAACACGGTATTAACAGCCAAGATCTGGATGATAAGTGTCTGCATTTGTTTCTAGTGCCATTTATTTGTGGAAGAAACTGCCCTGTAGAATTTCCCCTTTTCTGGATTTGGCTGATTTACCCTCATTTTAATATGTTCCTTTATTCTCCATATTTCCTGTAAACTGATGGTGGGACCCAGAGGTCTGATCAAATCCAGGCTCCTTTTTTTCTTTCTGTCTCTGAATTTTTTTCCTGCCAGACTACATCAGAGGTGATGCTCTGAACACATTTCTATTGTATGACATCTGGGGTGCATGATGTCTGACTGTCTCGTTTTCAGCAATACTGAGCGTGATCAGTGTGTTCCGGTGACGTCAGCCTGAACCACACGTTATAAAGTTTCCTCCATTACCCTTGCAACTAGTGGTTTTAGCAGCTGTTGATCATTGCCATTGTTAGGGATTACAAAATGGCTATTTTTCTATTTCTGTCACTTCACCTGAATTTATTAGCCGTAATTCTCTTATAAAGAGTAATGTTTCATTTGTTAACTATTTAATTACCTTGAAGTACAGTTCATATAGGAAGGGCAAGATAAATGCTTGATTCTGTCTCTTTATGAATTTTCAGACTAGTGAGTCGTTACCTTAGCAACCTCCAAAGATGAGAAATGAAGGTTGTTGGCTTTGGGGTTTTGTTTGTTTGGTTTGGTTTTGTTACAGGATACATACCCAGGTTCTTTACCCGCCACACAAGAGGGGCCAAATAAAACTGGAACACCAGGCTCACGGCAAGGAAAGAGTTTTATTTCAGGTGACGTCAGCAGGGAGATGAGAGCTCTCAGATTTGTCCCATCTCCCCGAAAGATGGGAGGCAAGGGGTTTTAAAGGTTGTGAGGGGGAGCATCTACTGGGGTTTTAGGTAGGGGAGGGGGAGCATGTGGACCTGCTGGTTGGCACCTTCCCACCAGCTTATGTTTGGCCTTGAAGACTGAATTTCTCTCCCTTGACTGTCTGGACTTTTCTGGTTAGTTTTCATCTTCAGCCTGCGTTTGGCCTTGTGAGGCTGAATCTTTTTTTTTTTTTTTTTTTTTTTTTTTTTTATTGCGGTAACGTTGGTTTATAACATTGTAAAAATTTCAGGTGTACATCATTGTACTTCTATTTCTGCATGGACTACATCATGTTCACCACCAAAATACTAATTACAACCCATCACCACACACATGTACCGAATCATCCCTTTCACCCTCCTCCTCCCCCCTTCCCCTCTGGCAACCACCAATCCAATCTCTGTCCCTATGTGCCTGTTTATTGTTCTTATTATCTACTACTTAATGAAGGAAATCATACGGTATTTGACCCTCTCCCTCTGACTTACTTCACTTTGCATTATACCCTCAAGGTCCATCCATGTTGTCACAAATGGCCGGATTTCGTCGTTTCTTATGGCTGAGTAGTATTCCATTGTGTATATATACCACAGCTTCTTTATCCATTCGTCCCTTGATGGGCACTTAGGTTGCTTCCAAGTCTTGGCTATTGTGAACAACACTGCAATGAACACAGGGCTGCATATATCTTTACGCATTTGTGTTTTCGTGTTCTTTGGATAAATACCCATCAGTGGAATAGCTGGATCATATGGTAATTCTATCGTTGATTTTTTGAGGAATCTCCATACTGTTTTCCATAGTGGCTGCACCAGTTTGCACTCCCACCAGCAGTGTATGAGAGTTCCCTTCTCTCCACATCCTCTCCAACACATGTTGTTTCCTGTCTTGTTAATTATAGCCATTCTGACGGGCATGAGGTGATATCTCATTGTAGTTTTGATTTGCATTTCCCTGATAGTTAGTGATTTTGAACATCTTTTCATGTGTCTGTTGGCCATCTGTATATCTTCTTTGGAGAAATGTCTGTTCAGGTCTTTTGTGAGGCTGAATCTTGATGTCTGTACCTGGATTTCCTGAGGAAGACAGCTCACTCCTATACTGAGGAGGGACAGAAAGACCTGGTTAGTTTTAAACAACAGTTGATTATGCAGAGTATGCACAGCTGCGGTTAGCAAAGCTTATCTCAAAGTTTTTGCTCTCTTCTTCTAGCCCAGGGAAGATTTTTTAACCTCTTCTTGCTCGGTTTCAGTTTTGGTTTCTTTGCAGATTATTATAACTTGCCACACAGTGTTTTACAATTTTCTAAATTTTTATATAGAAATTCTGATTTCTGACTTCTCTTGAGAAATAGGAAGATCTGATGATACTGGGCCCTGATTTCCACAGGGCAGCAATTGCTGAATCTGAGTAAGGACCACCACTGTAGATGGATCTTTCTAGTTCAACACAGTCCGCATCACTCCCAGTTGTCTCAGGACATATTATCTGATTTGTTAAGAGGAGGGTGAAAAAATTCTTGGTCCCATCAACTAAACCTGGTCAGCTTATTTATGTCAGCTGTCTAACCCCTGTATGCTTCTGAGTTTGCAATTCCAATTTATTTAATAGCTTTTGTAGTGGGTGTCTTACATGTGTATGTAATATAGTCCTTTGTCAAATCCCCTCTCATCCCTGACTTCCATCTACCCTGTCTCTCCTACTCTCTTGTGAGTCAAGATTCTTGGTTACAGTAATAGAAACCCAACCCTAGATGAGTTAAACAAAAAAGAACATGGGTCTTATGACCCACCTACCCTAGACCAGGCAGGCAAGTGGGGTAGCATAATTAGCCCAGCTTGGGTCTCGGGCCCACCCCACTGACCAGGGTGGAGGGAGCTAGACTAGATTCTCTCACTGGGGCTGACCACATGGTTTACAGGAGCAATTCCCAAAAGGTGGTTTTGGGGGTGGGGGGTCCCTGCCCATTTCTTTGCCAAAAGACATTTTTAGCTAAGTCTGTGCTTGTGTAGATGTGAAATGCTTGGGAGGGCAGGCTGGCAGCCCCTGGATGAGCTCGTGATTCCCAGGGTCACAGTGTTGGGTTGACCCTGTTGTGTAAAGCACACACATCTGAGTAACTAGGTAACTGAAACCCTCTGAAAGGCAGCCTGTCCTCCTTCAGGGAGTCGGTGTCCTCAGTCTCAGCCACTTGGTTTGAGTCCTTAGACATTGTTCTGAGCTGGATGTTGCTTCTTTGCTGCTTGAGGCTTCATTTGCCTGAAGACCCCCCAGAAACCCAGTCAGATCCTCCTTGTTAAGAGGGAGATTAACACATGTAAAAGAAAAGATTTAAGCCCACAAAATATTAATTCAGGACTTCTGGGCAATTCACTTAGAAGAACTGAAAAAGCAAGCAAAAGGGGGTGCTGTGGTGTCGACAGGGCAGTGCTCCAAAGACCCCCACGTAGGAATAGTACCCTGCTTGTGCAGACAGAAATGGAGACGCTGCCTCTGTCCCATCGCCTTGAGCCGTGCTCAGACTAGAGTTGCTCAGACTAGAGTCGCCAAGCTCCCTCCCACCGCTGCCTTTTGATCTTTCTCCTTCCTCTCTGTCCCACCCTCTCATCTCCCATTCCCGTACCAGTTTCTTACTGCCCAGTAGTTTTATAAAGCTTGACATGAGAGAGTTGCTCTAGAAAGAACACACACATTTTGCATGGGCGTTCCCAGAAGTCAAAAATCAGAATCAGAACCATTTGGAAGGACTTGTTTTTAAAAATGTAACTTTCTGGTCTCTGCCAGCTACTGCATTGCCTATCTGAGGGGTGGGCGTGGGTCTAACACTCCCCCCACCCCCACTTCCTTGTGTGCTTTAAGTGGTCATGGTCATAGAAGTTTGAGAGCAGTAGCGTGGAGGGAGCACCACCTGCATCACATCTGAGCAGCTGGGCGTTTGGACAAATGCCTGGAACGTTCTTACTCTGTGGCTACTGGTCCGTGGGCAGGAGATAGAGGGCCTCCAGTGGCCCTGAGACCCCTCTCCTCACACCACGAGGACCCTGGCGAGTAGGAGAAGCCATGCTTACAACCCATCATCCCGATTCCCACCCCCCAGGTCAGCTGGTTGGGACGGAGGAGGGGAGAACTGCTAATTGTGTGCTGGTCAGCTCTGCCCCCCCTCAGATGACTTGGGCAGCAGCGCAGGGCAGACACGGCTCTGGATTCTGTGGAGGCGGCCTCCTCTTCCTGATGTGAGGTGCATTAGTGCCTTAGAATGCTTTTTTCATGTCTCAGAAGAGGAACCTGTTTTCAGTGTTTCCTTTTTCCCCCCAACTTTTTAGTTTGAAAACTTTCAGACCTACAGAAAAGTTCTAATCGTACAATGGACACCTTTCAAGTAAATTCACTAGCTGTTAACATTTTGCTACATTTGCTTTCTCCCTTCCTCCCTCTGCTTTTTTTTCTCAGTCCGTTGAAAATAAGTTGCAGACATCAACATGTATCTTCCTCCTAAGAAAGAGTAAATAATTGTGCTAATAAACACAGTATCATTGTCACAACTAAGAAAGTTAATACTAATTTTATATCTACTATGCAATCCGTATTCAGAAGTTCTCTATTGCCTCCCAAATGTCTGTATAACTGTTATATATCTATTTAGCAGTTGTGACTGTGTCGTGTACCCCCCACTGCCCGCTCGCCCCTCCTTCCAGGATCTAATCAAGATTCAGGCATTTGGTTATGTCTCTTTAGTCTCTTTTCATCTGGAACTGTATCGTATCTGTTTTTTTCCCCCCATGCCCTTGACTCTTTGAGAGTCCAGGCCATTTATGTTGCAGAATGTCCCACATTCTGGATATGCCTGATTTTCACCTTGCAATGAGATCCAGGTTAAATGTTTTTGACAATGTTTTTACAGTGTTCCTGTGCCCTTCTCATTGTGTGACAGCAGGAAACACACGATGTCTCGGAGTGGCCCCCAGTGGGGAGCTAAATTTGACCACTTCTTTAGACAGATGGTGAGATCTCCAGATCTCTCCATTGTGGAGATAGTTCTCCTTTGTTGTAATTAAGTAACTTGTGGGGTGATACTTTGAGGTTGTGTGAATATTCTGTGCCCCATAACCCAAGGATTTCAGCATCCATTATGGTCCTTATGAGAATCAGTCACTGCATTGTAGATTGCAAATTGATGACTTGCTAATTTTATCATTAATGAGCAATAGTCTACATGAATTAGCACTAATTCATCTGTAAAAAAGAGCTTTTCCTTCTCCCTTCCTTTATTTTGGTATCATCATTTATGGACACAGGGATTTTTTTGTTGGTGTGTGTTATAACCCATAACTGACATTACTCTTTGATGCTTAAATTGTCCTAGATTCGGCTAGGGAATCCCCCTCGAGTAGGCTCCCATGTGCCTTTGTCTTTGCTGTCTCTCATTAGTGCTTCAGCACTTCCTTGCTTTCTGAGAAAACAGAATCAACTTTTTCTCCCAGGAGCCCTGGTTTCCATCCTGGTAGGCAGTGATATTTGGAAACCAAGATATGGGTGTTAGGGCCGACCCTGTGGCTTAGCGGTTAGGTGCGCGCGCTCCGCTGCTGGCGGCCCGGGTTTGGATACCAGGCGCGCACTGACGCACCACTTCTCTGGCCATGCTGAGGCCATGTCCCACATACAGCAACTAGAAGGATGTGCAGCGGTGACATACAACTATCTACTGGGGCTTTGGGGGGAAAAAAAATTAAAAAAACAATTAAAAAAAAAAGATATGGGTGTTAAGTGTGCTCTTTCTCTTTGCTTCTGAGGTGATTTAACTTGGTATTTTCAGTCCTGAACCTGTAATAACATTTCCCTTCTTTTGGGGGGTTATCTTTTTTAAATTTAGTTTGATGAAGAATTTTTAGAAACAAAAGAACAGTTGCAGAAGTTGCAGGATGGTAAGTATGGAAATGAGACAACGGTCAGTAATACTGAATTTTTTTTTTTTTAAGAACTGATATGTACATGGAAGGGCAAAGATGCTGCTTACACCAGACCTTCAGAACAGTATCCTAAAACCAGACAAGCAGGAGGGAATAACGGCTGAAATTGCCAAGAAATCGCTCCTTTTTAAGTAGTTCTTTAAGAACTAGCTAAAGGGAGGGAGCAGTTCCTTCCTCCATCCAAGTGCCCTTCTCCATCCCTTTCTCCTCCCTCTGCCCTCCTCTGGCCTCTCTTTCCCCCCTTTCTTCCTCTCCCTCATCCCTTCCCTCCTCCTCATCTTCCCCGTCTTGCCCCCTCCAAATTGTCTGAGGCATCAGCACCTGCTTGAAGTATGCAGATAAAAATCGTCGTTTATACTGGGCTGCATTTCTGAAGTAAATACCAAAGAGAAACAAAATCAGTGAAAGGCCCCCCCTTTAACTCCTGGTCAGTCTTTCTCCCTCCACGCCCAGGGCCCAGAAGAAACACCTGCCAACCCTGTAAGCAGCCTCCCTCCCAGCCATCAGCAGGGTCCCCAGGCCCAACTCAAGGCTCCCTTGAGAGGGACCAGCTCTACAGGGCTGTAATGCCGCCTGTCATGCGTGACACTGCCTGGCGTCACCAGGCGTGTGCTGAGTACTCATGTCCCCTCTGCGCTCACGTGCCCACAGACCCTGAGCCCCTCGAGGGCTGGGCTGTATCCTGTACTTGCATCCCTCCCCGGGATTTGGAGTGTGGAAGGTGTTTGATACAAGTTTGTTGAAAGTAATGGCTTACTTTTGGACCAGTGACAGCATACTTGATAGTAAGTGGTCTGTGGCTGTGGAAGAGAAAAACTGAGTCGACATGAGTAAGTATCAGCTGGTGACTTAGGTTTCATGATCAGATTGTCTAAAATAAGTGCAGTCAGTAGAACATGTTACAGTGATGGAAATGTTCTATTCTACACAGTCCAGTGTAGTAGCCACTAGCCATATGTGCCTACGGAGTACTTGAAATGTGTCTACTGTGACTAAGGAATTGAATTTGAAATTTTTAAAGTTTTAATTTAAATTTAGGTTTAACTAGACACATGCAGCTACTGCCCACTGTTGGCCAGTAGAGCTCTGAAGAAATATCTTCACTGCATTTCCCCCCACCCTTTATCACGGTGGGTAGGTATTTTTTCCTGGGGTGAAAATGAAAAAGGAAGGTTTAGAACGATGCTAGCGCTGGGGCTTCTTTTATGGCTAAATCCTCTTCCCCGAATGAGGTCGAGGTTATCTGTCATCAGGGAGCTTTCCACTATTTCCTAAGGCTGTCACCTCACTGGCCCTTTTCATTCAGTAGAGCACTTTTCTAGGGGATGGGGGACAGGGAAGAGATTACTTCTAACTCTGGGCTTCCACGCTCAGGTAACCACCTGCTGTTCCAACAAGTGCCGATGGTTGAAATTGACGGGATGAAGCTGGTGCAGACCCGGAGCATCCTCCACTACATCGCGGACAAGCACCACCTCTTTGGCAGGGACCTGAAGGAGAGAACCCTGTACTGTGGCCCCTCTTGAGTGCTGTCGTTGTCAGCTTGCTGGCGCCCTAGCTGATTAGCAGTCCTCTGCAGCACACCCTGGCTACTTTATGTCTCGTGTTGTTAGTGTGACAGAGTCTGAGTAAAACAATAGAAAACAATTGAATTCAGATATTGGATCCTGACTCTGGCATGTGGTGATTTCAGGTTTCAGCATCTTTAAAAGCTTTGATACTGCTTTTTACCTTTCTTGCAAACTTATCATCATGGAGTATTAGGAACAGAAAGCCGCTGTGACATTCAAGGCCTGGGATACTGTGCATTGGATTATACTTTGAGCTCAAAGCCAGGTCCTTGTATCTCCTAGAAGGCCTGATACTGGGAAAAATGCTGAGTTCCAGGGTTCTGATGAGTTTCCTGTGCAATGGGATAATAATGGCACATTCCTCACAGTGTCGTAGGATTCAGTGAAATGTTGGATATAGAGTGTTTAGCACCATGCCTGGTACACACCAAGCATTCCATAAATGATATGCACTCTTTTTATAAATGTGAAGTTCCACCCACATTGAGGGTGGTGGCTGGTTGCGGGTGGAGGAGGAGGGCCGGGGAGAGACTGTTGTGCTTTCTGATTTGTGACAGATTTTTCTGAAGGACTTTTCTGAATTATAACTGGAATTGACTTTGCATCTTTGCCCTTAAGAGTCAGATGTAGGTAAATGCTTCTTGGTACTTAAGTTGGGGGAGCCTTAAGAGAAAAGCACTCTGAATGCTTAGCGGTGGAAGCCGTTGAGTTTAAAGAGAGAGGAAACTGAGAAAGCTGCTTTTTTTGTTTTTAGGATTGACATGTACGTGGAGGGGACGCTGGATCTGCTGGAACTGATCATCATGCATCCTTTCCTAAAACCAGATGATCAACAGAAGGAAGTGGTTAACATGGCCCAGAAGGCTATCATTAGATACTTCCCTGTGTTTGAAAAGGTAGGTGGCAGAGAAGCCCGTGACCACAGCATAACCTGACCACAAAGGAGCTGCCACTATGCCCCTTTCTGCTCAGGGCAGTGTAAAGCTGATGGACTGACGTCGCCAGACACCTGAGAGTGACAGTAGCCATCAGCACAAAGCCAGGATGTCTTAGAGCCCCTCACACTCCAGTAGGACCACATTACTGGAAAATGTGGGCTCACCCCATGTGTGCATTATTGTTCCTTCACATTCCCCAGGGGCCCAACTGTGTAAGATGCAGAAAAACAGAAACTCCCTAATTCCTTCCTTCTTCCATTCCATTGTGTTTCAGATACCCTGTTTGGAGAGAAGAACCGTTACTGTTTTATTTTTCTTCCCTTTGCTCTTTTTGTTCTCTGTTTTCTTATTTTCCTTGTCTTATTGCTATCTCTGCTTTTCTGAGCTTCAAACTCCTTTTTTCCTGAACTGAGAGGAAGTTTTTTAACTGTTTCGCTTAAAAAACAAAAGAAGAGAATGTGAAAATATGGAATTGGCAAACTGCCTCTGGTCATCCTGGTGGAATTAGATTTCAGACAAAGGAGAGGTATTTTCTGGGTTTTTCTGTCACTTGGTTTCATGGTCTTCTGCCCACAGGCACTTTGTGAATATAAAATATAATGCAGAAATGTGGTGTGACAAGGGGGTCAGGTACCTCGGTGACAGGTCACTGCTGGTTCTTCTGTCCCTATGGCCCAGACTGCATCAGGCCTCCTCCCAACACATGAGCTAAAAACTGTTACCCCCTCTTACACAGAACGAAACAGAGTCACAGAGAGATTGAGTGACGTGCCCAAGGTGGGGAGCTGGGATTGGAACCCTGGCCTCTGATTACAAATTCTGGATTCATTGTACTATCCCACTCTGGCTCCAGAGTCCTGTTTAATTTGGCGTTATACACAGAATCCCTGTCAGACACACACACCACATATATACACACACACACAAACACATGTGTGCACACAGACTCACTTTCGTGGGCATCCAAGAATTCACTGCAAAGGGATCTCCCTTCTACCACTGTTCTCGCCTCCCCCTGATCATCACCTGTTCCTGTGAATCTCTGCACCTATAGGTTGCTCTCAAAATGGGAGTCAAGGTGAACTCGCGTGCTTTTAATTTTCTCTGTCTTGGGAGATGTGAAAGAAAGTCTGCTTTTTTATAGTCACGTCTAGTTTATGACCATGAGTCCCGATGTTCATAGAAACGCAGCTAGCAACAAGATTGGGCTCCCTGGAGAGGACCTATCGTTTATTTCTTACATCACGTGCCCCCCAGCCTCCTGAGTTCATCAGGGCTAATTCATTTCTGTAGATACATTTATGGAATAGATGCATTCCTTTAAAGCACTGGATGCTAAATCCAAAATTAATGTTTCCTTCCCCTTTTCAGTATCTCCTTCTGCTGTAAAGCAGATATTTAATGATGCTTTCATTCCTTCACCTTTTGTTTCTCTCTCTCTGGTACAGGGAGCTTCCTCTTAGTTGATGTTATTCATAAAAGGATGAAAGGGCAAGGCCTAGTTTCACCCCTTCTCAGACCCTGCACTGACTCAGGAGCTTCCTCAGTTTCTCCATGTGGAGGATCGTAACCAGTGCAGCATGTTTCTATCCTGCAGGTTTTAAGGGATCACGGACAAAGGTTTCTCGTTGGCAATCAGCTGAGCCTTGCAGACATAATTCTGCTCCAAACCATTTTGGCTTTAGAAGAGAAAATTCCTAATATCCTGTCTGCATTTCCCCACCTCCAGGTAAATAAAACCACGTCTTAGAAGATTAGCCCGGAACTCTTAGACCTTCCTTCAATGTCTGTTGATTGGTTGGCTGGGGGCGGTGTGTGTGTGTGTGTGTGTGCGTACAATTTGTTTAGATTCTAGTTAGTGAAATGAAATGAAGATACAGACTTGAAATTGTTTTTCTGGTCCCCAGATTCTTAGAGCTGAAAGATCATTTCCAGCTGAGAGAAGTTTTACCTTAGTAACTGCTCTCCTGGAACGAACTCCACACAGTTTGCCAGTAGAGACTTGCCTTGGGGGTAATCCTGGGGACAGGCATTCCTCATCTCTTTGGGCTGTGTGTACTGACCGAGGGCCTGAGAGTCAGTGTCACAAGTCTCATGGTCAGGGGGTGGCTCCCATTCTCAGAAGAACGTGCTCTCCAGTTAGAAACGTCCGAGCCTGAGTTCTAAGAACTAAGAGGCACCCTAAACATTACCCCAAAGAGTTCCCGCCTTCCCAGAAATTCCGAGGAGAGACTGTGTGTGACTTAGCTTATTCCTTAGTATTATTCTGACAGGATTGATCATACAATTTTGAAGCAGAAAAGGGCTTTAAAAAAACGAATCTCTTCCGATGCCTTAGATATCTGTATGAGGAAATAGAGACCCAGGGTAAAGAAGTCAGCAGCTAAGATGGCCTGGTGAGTGGGTGCCTCAATTTTGTCTAGAACCTTAGCCTTTTCTCTCTAAATCCAATGGGCTTTCATCTATACTGGGGGGGGGGGGCAGTTGGCAAACTATGCCCCCCCCAGGTCAAATTGGGCCTGCTCCCTGTTTTTGTACAGCTCTTGAGCTAAGGATGGTTTTTACATTTTTAAATGGTTGAAAAAATACCAAAAGAATAATAATATTTCATGACATGAAATGATGTGAAATTTAAATTTCAGTGTCCATAAAGAAGTTTTATTGGCACAAAGCCACAACCATCCATTTATGCATTGTCTAAGGCTGCTTTTGTGCTACTGCAGCAGAGCCGAGTGGTTCTGATACAGCCCGTGTGGCCTGCAGAGCCTAAAATATTTACTAACTGGTCCTTTATAGAAAGAGGTTGTCAATCCCCAATATAGACCAGATCAACACATCTTTGACCAAGTTATCAAAAGCCAAAAGAGACACACAATTTCCAAAGAGTAAAGACGCATACTTTTTTAAGAAACTAATTTTTCCAAGTCTAGTAAACATCATTTTGATATGCTGATAAGGACAACAACCACCAGTTAAATGCATACACCCAGAAAATGAGAACCAGAATGTTTGATGAGGCAAATACTCAATATATAGTTTAGCTATCTGTTCATTTTTTTCTTGTAGACACAGAGATGGACTTTTTTTTTTTCTTAAATGTCGCTTTTTTTGTGTGTGTGAGGAAGATTAGCCCTGAGCTAACATTCGGGCCCATCTTCCTCCACTTTATATGGGATGCCGCCACACCATGGCTTGACAAGCGGTGCGTCAGTCTGTGCCTGGGATCCGAACCTGTGAACCCCGGGCTGCCGAAACAAGAGTGCTCGAACCTAACCGCTACGCCACGGCGTTGGCCCAAGATGGACGTTTTTTAATTTGACTTTAATACCAGTAGGTCCCTGAAATAGCCCAGGGACCTACTGGTATTTTCCATCCATGATGCTAACAATTTGTTTTTAAACCCCAGGCACATCTGTGTAAATACAATTTTAATCTCTGTTCAGATCGAACATCAATATTAAAGGACTTCAGAATCTAACACCAGATCTGAGTTGAATTAAAGGGTCATTCCTGCATTGAATAATGGGTAAAAAAAAAAAAAATTGTCGGGAGTCAAAAAGCTTTATTATACATGACAAGTATGAACCCCAGGTAAAACTTGAAATGATAAATCCTATGGAACAAACTTCTAAACAGTGCTATAATATTCAAACTTAGATAATACAAGTAGTTCAAATAGGTAATAAGAGAAGATTGTCATATTTGTAAAGCATTAATTGACGTAATTATTAGTTTTGTTGATATTAGTGACATATATACATACGTATGTATATACATATATATGTGTGTGTATGTGTGTTTGTGTATATGCTTAATTAAGGCTGTGCTTTGTATATAATAGACATTTAATAAATAGCAGCTTTTTAAATAAATTACCTCTTTACTTTGAAAGATTTTATTAGAATAATTATCTATGATGGATATGCACTTTGCATAATTCAAAATTTTCACTAAATCAGTTAGACTTTTCTTCTCAATTACTGAGAATTGGTAAGATTTGACTCTGTGAATGAAAAATATAATTTTTTTCCTTCCATTCCAGTTTACATAAATATCTGGTATCTGAGCCCTAGGTTACAAAAAGTGCAACTGGCCGTCTCCCACGCATAGCCAGAAAGACGATTCATTTGTTAATAGCAGTAAAAAAGTCCAAGGAAGGGGCCGACCTGGTGATGTAGTGGTTAAGTTCGTACACTACGCTTTGGCGGCCCAGGGTTCACAGGTTTGGATGCTGGGCATAGACCTATGCACCACTTATCAAGCCAAGCTGTGGTGGTGTCCCACATAAAATAGAAGAAGATGGGCATGGATGTTAGCCCAGGGCCGGTTTTCCTCAGCAAAAAGAGGAGGATTGGCAACAGAGGTTAGTTAGCTCAGGGCTGATCTTCCTCACACAAAAAAAAAGAAGTCCAAGAAAGCTGAATTGTAAAATGTACATTGTACCATCTGATGACTTTTTAAAGCACTTTATTTATATGATTCATTCATTTTCTCTGAGCAGATCGATATATTTAAGGTACTTCCCCTGTCTTTCTTTTTCCTTCCTTTTTTCTCTTTAAGCAAGTATCAGAATCCTAATCATAATTCTAAGTATCTTTTTCATTTTGCTATCTCTGAAGAGGACTCACATCTCTGTGTGAACCCTGAGGTTTGCATGAAGCCTGATCCAGATGCCAGCCATGGTTGGCAGAGATTGTAAATAATCGTACCAAGAGATCAGACGCTAAACAGATGCTGGATTACAGTTCTGGTTGGATCCCTGCGACTAATATTTATTGAACAGAGTTTGATGGGCCATTTTGCACAACCGTATTTTCAGAGTAAATAATACCTCTGCCGTTAACCTTGAACTTCTGTGTTTTTCCTTTTTTAGGAGTTCACAGTGAAAATCAGTAATATCCCGACAATTAAGAAATTCCTTGAACCTGGCAGCAAGAAGAAACCTCCTCCGGATGACATCTATGTGAGAACCGTCTACAATATCTTTATGCCGTAAAACAACTCATGCATCTGTGAGTGAGAGCCAGCCCCTAGAGATTGCTGTGTCCACAATAGTATCTCCATCGATGCCAGGCTGCCGTGATGCCAGCTCTGTTGTAGTGCTATGTATGGTTGTTCCCAAGTTGGGTCTTTCAAGTCAAGGCGATCTCTTCTAGAAACATCGACATTTATGTGTCCAGTGAATAATCATTACGGGATTTTTTTTTCCTGAAAACCTTTTCAGAGAGGCTGGCATTCAAGTTAGATCTGATCTGAACTCATTTCCTGATAACAAGGATGGGAAGGCCTCATGTTCCCCCCTGAGCGTCTTTTCTCCTCTTCTTATCCCATTCTAAACCCCCTCCAGTCTCTTCCTAATTTTTAGTGTCTAATAAAACAGAATATCTAGTGAATAACTCTCCTCTGAGCTATTATAAATCCCTGGTAGCAATGAATGCAGTCGATATTAGCCAAAATAAAGAATTTACAAATCATTGCCCTGTTGCTAAAATTTTTAAATTAAATTGTTTGGAATATATAATACATTCACATGGTTCAAAATCAAAAACGTATTAAAGGGGTGAACAGTTAGAAGTGTTCTTTTCGGGCCGGCCCCGTGGCTTAGCGGTTAAGTGCGCGCGCTCCACTGCTGGCGGCCCGAGTTCGGATCCCAGGCGTGCACCGACGCACCGCTTCTCCAGCCACACTGAGGCCGCGTCCCACATACAGCAACTGGAAGGATGTTCAGCTATGACATACAACTATCTACTGGGGCTTTGGGGGGAAAAAATAAATAAATAAAATCTTTAAAAAAAAAAGAAGTGTTCTTTTCACACTGCCACCCAGCTACTAGGTTCTGCTCCCCACAGGCAACATAGTTATCATTTGTATATCCTTCCAGTTATATTTGACACATGTATAAGAAAATATAAATATGTATTACATTTAACCTCTCACCACCCAATTGGTTATTTGTAGGCTTCTAATTTTTTGTACTTCAGAACTAAAAGTATGATTTATTAATACTGCTTTAAACACGTGTTGATCTGTATCTTAAATATTAATTAAGCACCTATTATGTACCAGGTAGGGTACCAGGAGGTGGAACCCTAGAACAGAGCCCCTGCTCTAGAAAAATTCATCACCGTAGGGGAGATAGATGTGTAAACAGCAGAAGTAAATTTGGAAAAGGAAGAATTGCTGCTTTGGGAGTATCTAGTACTCAGAAATTTAAAAACCAAGGAAAGGCAAGTGTTTGGTGAGAGTCTCGTAGAGAGGACACCCTCATCCTTGACTGCAGGAGGGAACTTGTGCTCGGATGTAAAAAACAAAGAAGTAGTCGTGAGGTGATCGTGATGCCTGTCACAGTCAGTGCCAGTGCCTCAGTGTTGTGTTAGGGGAAAGTCAAGCGCAGTTATACAGGTAGTGATTTGTCTTCACACCGTCACAGTGTGAGTCACTCTAATATTTAGAAGTGCTGGAGGAGCAAAGGCTTGGTGGCAGGTGCCGCACGGGGGCTGGCCTGAGGAGCAGTGACGGCCTAGGCTCTGCTCCTGAGGGGGAGGCCCAGTCCGGCCAGGCTCCTGAGAGCAGGAGCCAACAAAAAGAAGAGGATGAGGGAGTATGGAGTAGAGTCTCACCTTGCCGCAAGGCTGATCTGCCTTTGCTTCTGGGAGGTGATGCCTAAGCCCTTGGAATGTCATGCTGATAGGAACAGCTTTGTTTGCTGGAGGCCTTGGGCCAGCCAGGCAATAACAGAGTGATTTAGGGTGAGAGCTTTGAGCCACACCAACAATGTGATGTAGGGTTGGGGCTTGGGGGCATGTGGTGTCCGCTCAACGCTGGAGGGGCTGGAGACAGATCTGCCACGTGGGCAGTCAGTCATGCCCACATAATGGAGCCCCAGTAAAAACTCTGGACTCAAGGCTTGGGTGGGCTTCCCTGGTTGACAATACTCTATTGTCACCCGTGGTTGCTAGGAGGATCTAATGCTGTCCACGACTCCGCAGGAAGAGGGCATCTGGAAGCCCCGTGTTTGGAACCCTCCTGGAGTCTGCCCTGTGCATCTCTTCCCCTGGCTGATGTTCCTCTGTATCCTCTCCCTGTGATAAACCATAGCCGTGAGTACCACAGCTCTCAGTGAGTTCTGTGAGTCTTCGAGCGGATTGTCGAACCTGAGGGTGTTTTTTGGGCACCTGCTGAACTTGCAGATGGTGTCAGAAGTGAGGGCCGTCTTCTGGCCCGCTCCTTCTAAACTCCGCGGAAGAGAAACGACTTACACTCATATGGAAACTAATTTACATGTGGGAACCAGATACTGATTTGATGATGCCCAGGGACCTGTATTATTGAGTTTTGTAGATGGCAGCAAATTTGGGCTATTTTGTATTACCATTTCGGTGTGATTTTACTATCCAGTTCCAGTGCCTGATAATATTAATTGAGGGCCTGCTATGTAGACCTTAAGCCATTTTGCAAACATTGCTCCTTGGGTTTTAATTCTCTTAGACACAAGGGGGCCCTCGAGAGAAAACAACCAGGGAGGAAGGTTGGCTTCTGCATGCACTGAATGACAGGATGAGAGAAAATAAATACAAGAGAGAGAGCAAGCTGTCTCCGAAGAAGACAGGTTCCCATGTCTCCTGCTCATAGTTATATACCTTAAATTGTGCAGGTCACTTCCCGTATTGGAAACAGGTTCCCCTCCTTCCCCATCCTGTCTCAGGCGGCATTACTGTACTTTTGTCACAAGCCCTTTTGGCCCAGACTCCCACCCTTTAGTCTGACATCCCCCCCCCCCAACCTATTTTCATGAGCCAGCGAACTCTGGCCATAGAGTAAGAAGTCAGGCACTGGATCATTTATCCTCAAAAACATCAGTGTGCTAGAATGTTCGGGGCTGAACCTAAACACATGAGACAGGGAGCAGAGCAGAAGGGGGGTCAGGAGGCTCACCGACCGGAAGCCATGGCAGGTGCGCCAGTGGGTTTAAAGTGCACAGCCATGTGTAAATGGGGCAGTTGCAGAGGCTCTGGTGTCTGGGACAAAAGGGGAAACCTGGATGGTGTGGCTTTCTGGTGTCTGGGACAGAAGAAAGAGGTGCAGCACTTAAGGAGCCAGGGACCCAGCAGAAGCCACTCAGAGAGGCTCTGGCAGACTGGGTGCCCAAAGAAACACCTGACTCTCCTCCTGCCCTTCGCCTGGCCGGGGCAGTCTGTCAGGGCAGCCTCCTGGCATATGGAGCAGAGCAGAAAGTGAATTCCAGGGGGCAGGGTCTGCAACAAGCCACAGCCAGCAGGGGATTTTGTATTATTTGCTGCTGTTCCCTCTTTGTTGAATGAGCTTTTTATTCCTTTAACGCAAATTGTCTGCCCTGGAAGATTGCGTGGTGGGCTCGTTCTTATTCTGTCAGTCAGACATCCCCACCTAAGGGAATCCTCCTCTGACCGTGAGGTCTTAGCACCCCCACAGCCCCCATACCACTTTCTCACCATCCGATTTTGTTTTCTTCATAGCATTGACACCTTCTGGCAGTCTTAGCTGTGTCTTTATATTTAAAGTGGGTTTCCTGTAGAAAACACACCTGGGTCTTGTTTGTTTTAATCCACTCACGATAGTCTCTGTCTTTTAATTGGTGTATTTGAGACCATTCACATTGACAATCATGATTGATGTGGTTGGATTAATATCTACCATGTTTGTAACTGTTTTCTATTTGTTGCTCTTGTTATTTTCTTTTTCTTTTTCTTTTTGTCTTCCTCTCTTTTTCTGCCATCTCTGGTTTTAATTGAGCATGTTGTGTGATTCTATTTTCTCTCCTCTCTTAGCATGTCAGTTCTTTTTTTAAAAAAACATTTTAGTGGTTGCCCTAGAGTTTACAATATATATTTACAACTAAGCTGAGACCACTTTCAAATAACACTATACTGCTTCACGGGTAGTGCAGGAACTTAGAGTATTCCCAGTTCCTCCCGCCACCCTTACAACGTTATGGTCATAGAGTTCGCATATCCATAAGCTATGATCATCTGATACATTGTCGCTTTTATTATTTTAAACACACTGCATTTATTTCCTTATATGTTTATACTGCCTACCTTCCCCCTCTAGAATGTAAGCACCAGGGGTGCAGGAATGGGTCTGTCGTGCCCACCTGTGTGGAGCCGGGGCCTAAAACAGCACCTGGCACAGAGTGGTGGTACTCAGGAAATACTTGTTCAGTGGGTCAGTGGAATCTTCCTTTCTTCCTACTTCTGTAACTTGATGCGCTATCAAATACACAAACAGGGGATGTGAAGTGAAGCCTCAGAGATGTACAGACTGGAATGCCGGTTGGCTAATCTCATGAGTGGGCAGAGCTTTCAACTGGAAAGAAAAAGTTTATAAACCCTCACTTAATCCACCCAGAGCACCCCAGACAAGAGCCAGGACGAGACAAGGTGAGTAGTGAAGTTCTTGTATACTCTTCTTGGGCTTGGTGAGATAGTTATATTTTGTGACCAAATTTGCAGGTTGTAGTTAACAATTGTTTTAATTTTGTGATTAATTTAATGCCTATTATTTCTCAGCTTGCGTATATCAAGTAGAAGGAACAGGTATTTTTTCTGCAGAGTAAATGAAAACGAGACAGCAAGTCTAGACAAAGCCTTTTGGAGATGTTCTTTGCCTATGCATGATTTACATAACAGCAGACATTAAAATGCCCCCACACCCATATCACACACTAAATGTAATTTGAAAAAAAAGTATATAAGAGTCAAACAGTGTTTCAGTTGATTGATTGATATAACATGCTTAGTAGAATTTAAACATTTATAATTTTTGGGCCAATACATTTTTTTCCTCCTGAGGCAAATCTCATATTTTTGTACACCGTTGAAAAGAACACAGGCACTGCCCACTCTCTGCCATGGTGCCTAACAGGTAAACTAAATCTCCTACATCTAGTATCTTCTAGTATCTTCTCCATGCATGCTTGGAGGATTTAATCCAAATCATTTGACACTGGGGTCTTCCTCTGGGGTCCTACATCTCTGGGGGACTGCGCCAAGTTGAAAAGCAGGAGTCTCTCAGTCAAACCCTGAGGTAGATTTTTCTAGGACTTGCCCCAATCTTTAAACAGCAATGGGCCATGTGGTGACTCACTTTGTTTTCTCTAGACAGCCTCAGTGACATGCGTAGATGAAAGTCTCTTTCTTGGCTCAGGTATATTTTTCATTTAAGTAAGTTTATAAGCCTTTGGGGAATAAGTCAACCTCTTGTGAGTTTTGGGAACATGAATCAATCCATTAGACCCTAATGGAAAGGAAATTCAGTTTCTGAAACTGAAATATAGGGATCTCTGGAGAAAATGCCTCGCCTATGAGCTTGGAATAGAGCAACCTCCTTAATCATCTTATTACATAAGTAACTCTCACCCACTCCCCACCCAGGAATATTGTTTAGGCTGTTAACCTATAATCCCGTGGGGCAGGGAGGGGCGGGGCTCAGACAAAC